GAAGGAAGGGGAGGGAGGGACCGGGGAAGACCAGAGACAAGGACACGGGAAGCCATGCCTCGGAGACGAGGCAGGGAGGGGTGACCAAGACGGTGGTGCCAGAGGAGAGTCTCTTGAGACAGGAGGCGACACGAGCAGGGGGCAGACTCAAGACCAGACCTGGACGCTGCAGCAAACACCTGACCCGACGCAGCTACCTGACCAGACGCAGGGACAGGAGGAGACTCAGTGGTCAGGGTGTAGAGGCTCGACCCCGGCCGACGCGTAAACGTGGCCAGGGGTCGGCCTGTGCGAGCGTCCGAGCAGTGGGTCACCCGCTGACTCGCAGGAGTAAACTGGTGAACCCCCGCATCCTGCAGGTCAGCACCACTCACCAAGTTTGTAGAGAACGAGGGGAGGTAAAGACCAGACAAGGTGCCAGAGGGGGCAGCCGGACACGGGAGGACAGTGGAGAAGTGAGAGAGGACAGGACCCCCAGAGGGGTCTGCCAGGGAGACTGCAACCGGCCGACCAAGCGGCGTGAGTGTGGTGCGGTCTCGAAAGAAGGAGCGAGAAGCCCCTAAGTCAAGTGTGAAGGTGAGGGAGGCCGAAGCCGACGCGGTACCTGAGAGCGCAGACTCACCAGTACCTGAGGACGCAGACGCACTGGCACCTAGAGCAACAGCCACACTAGCACCTAGAGCAGCAGCCTCACCAGCACCTAGAGCAGCAGTCTCAATGCCCGGATCGGGCAGGAAACACCGGTAACAGTCACCTTCGTCACTATAAGTCACAGCATACATGGCAGCAAGAATAGCATCAAAGTCAAGATCAAAGATAGCTATACCTGCCCTAGACAGCTCTCCCCAGCGGGGGATCTCAGCGGCCTCCGGGAACTGGTGACGCCAAGCCTCCGTCAAGCGGCCAAAGCAGCGCTGGGTGGAGTGGGCACCCCCACACTGCTCGCCCGCGCGGTCGCCGGTGCGAAGGACGTAGGTGCACGGACCAAAACCCCCACCACGCTGACACGCAGCGTACCACTCACGGAGCTGCTGAGGGGGGGGGGATGTCTCGCGAACGCTGCTGCTGCTGCTAATGTTGCTGACCACCACCGGAGTCGCTCCGCTGCGAAGCGCCACCCCGACCAGCTCCACCTCCGCCACCACCGCCTCCTCCGCTCCCACCACTACCGCCTCCTCCGCCTCCGCCTCCACTGCTGCCACCGACACCTCCACCCCCGCCACCACTCCCACCGCCACCCCCACTTTCTCCGCCGCCTCCACCGCCACCTCAGCCACCCCCGCTAGCTCCACCCGCGCCCTTGCCCTGTTTGCCCTTGCCAGAGCGGCGTCTCCCGCTAGGGGCAGACGCCGCATCGACCGACGCAAGACCAACAAGGTTGGCCGCAGCAGCAGAGGCGACAGAGGGCAAAAGGGGGGAAGGGGAACACCCCTCAAAGATGGGGGTGCGAGGGTCACTACGAGAGGCTCCTACAGCGACTATGCTCTTCTCCGCCGCTAGGAGGGCCTTCTCTAGGAGGTCAAGAGTGAGAGTGGTGGGACAGACCGAGAGGAAGTGGTCCCTGACTACACGAAGGGAGTCAGGGAGGCGGGTGACTATATAATAGAGAGTGATGTACATGGGGGGGGGGGGGTTCTTGGCGCAGAACTCAGCAGGAAGCGCAGCGCGGTAGCGAGTGTCACTAGTGCGGAGGTGCGTAATTATGTCAGCGACTGTGGGAAAGGCAGCAAGGTCAGGGAAGAGGTACGGCAGCATGAGGTGGCTTAGTGCAGCAGTGGCAGGGGAAGAGTAGCGCGCAACTACGGCATCGTACAAGGTCTGAGCACTCTTGTACTGACTAAAGTGTGCGCGCTCTGTGGTAGGCAGGTGGCGACGCACAGCAAGACGTGCAGCAGCATCGCGAGTGGCCCATTGGGAGCGAACAGTGGCGTCGGCATCGGCAGCAGGGGCAGGGGAGGCACCAGAGGTGAGGTCAAAGAGGGAGAGACCGTCTGCCCTATCGCACTGTAGGAAAAGCTGCAGGTCATCTACCCAGACCTCAAAGTCAATGGCCCGACCCTCACCGTCAAAAGCGAGAACAATGGGGGTGGCCATGACAACAGTAGGCTAGCAGTGCTAACTGTAGGACATGGGCAGTGCAGTGACAGAAGCGCTGCTCTCACCGGACAGGGCGGTTCGGGCAGCTCGGCAGCACAGCAGCACGTCAACACGGCGGCTCGGGCGACTCGGGCGGCTCAGCAGCAACTGCGGCTCGGCGGCACCAGCGGCTCGGCTCCTCTGCGGCTCAGGCGGCTCAGGCGGCTCGGGTGGCTCGGGCGACTCGGGCGGCTCGGGCGGCTCGGGCGGTTGGGGCGGCTCGGGCGGCTCGGGCGAAACGGACGGCTCGGGCGGCTTGGGCGGCTCGGGCGGCTCGGGCGGCTCGGTAGGGCGGCGGGGCCGCAGCGAAGGGCGGCGGGGCCGCAGCAAAGGGCGGCGGGGCCGCAGCGAAGGGTGGCGGGGCCGCAGCAAAGGGTGGCGGGGCCTTAGGGAAGGGCGGCGGGGCCGTAGTGAAGGGCGGCGGGGCCGCAGCGAAGGGCGGCGGGGCCGCAGCGAAGGGCGGCGGGGCCGCAGTGAAGGGCGGCAGGGCCGCAGCGAAGGACGGCGGGGGCGGGACAGGGCGGCGCCGGGGCCGTATGGCGAGGCGACGGGGCCGTAGGGCTAGGCGACGGGGCCGCTAGGACGATGGGGCCGCCAGGGCGACGGGGCCGCTAGGGCGACGGGGCCGCTAGGGCGGCGCGACGTAGTGAGAGAGAGGAGCGCGACTCGGGCTGAGCGCGCTCCGGGCAGGAAAAAAAATCGATGTGGTGGGCCCTAGGCACAGTTCCCACTACGGAACCTGCTCGATACCATGAGAAAACTGAAACGAGAATGATTGACTAAGGAACGAAAGTGATACAAATATGCAACCCTAGAAATGTGTACCCCATATAGGCTACCCCACTATAGCCTACACAACATTATAATTTGACAGGGAAGCGAAGGTGTGGGTGCGGTCCGAGAGGAGATCGTAGGCTCTGAATACCAAGTGTTACGAGTGTAATTGAGTGAACGAACGAAAATTGCACTATCGAAGCAAGAGTACAATGAGCGAAGGCATGAGCGAAGAATATATAGCGAAACTACAGTGGTAACGGTAATGTACTGTAGTTGTCGCGCGACGGGCCTGGGACTGAGGTTGGGTAAAAGTGTCGAAGCGGAGGCCCGGAGGGCGGGTTACCCGCCGAGCCGTGAGGTCGGGGTGCGATGTGCGAAGGTGGCGGGCGGATTGTCGATGCGAGGGTTGCGAGTGGTAACGGTGATGACTGTGGTGCTACAGTGATGCACTCGTTGAGCAGGGATGCGAAGTAAGGAAAAGGAATTTTCCTTACATATACAATGGCTGACTGATCGGTGGAACCTTTCTCCTAGAGAACAATGCATAACGAGGATGCACACTCAAGTGCCCAGCTTGGGCCTCCCCCTTCCTTCCCGCCCCTCCCACAAAATTCCCCACTTCCCCTTCCCCCACCCCAACCACAATCGTCCAGTACGAGCCGTGCGTGATTCCGTGGATTCGCGACGCGATTCGCTAGTCCGTGAGCAGGGTTCAGGATAGCAGAGCGTTTTACCCTGTTTGCCCTGCATTTCAGGGTGCAATTTCGAACCCACAATGCTAGAATTGGGCTTGGCTGGGCGTCCACCCTGTCATCGTCAGGCAGGGCTAGAAACAAACCCTGCAATTGCTGTTTTATGCTTATGTGCAACACTGCTGTTTCCCGGCTCGTTGCGGCGGACACCCTGCCATTTTTTTTTCAGAACTTCTCTAATTACCGAAATGTGCCTTAGTTGCGTTTGTGACTGAAATTTCCAGAATCGGCGAAGTACTTGAAACACCAGATTCATCTCTAGCACAGTGAGTGGCGTTCGTGACTGAAATGTGTCCAGTAGCGTTTGTGACTGAAATTCCAGAATCGGTCAAGTCCTTGAAACACCAGGGATTCAGCTCTAGCACAGAGAGTGGCGCTTTATCGCTAGTGACATTACCTAGAAGACCCACCGACAGGCCTCTCATCTCATCTCCCCACCTCACACCACTAAGCACTGAAGCATGGAGACGAGCACCCTCTCGTCAGTAGGGGTACACACTTCGAATTTAGCCAGAAAGACTCAGTTCGACCAGATTTTCTGGCTTCTGGGAGGAGCGCAGAAAATGGCAGTGTAGACTGCGGGACCCAAAGGTTTTTGCTTGGCAGTGTTTTCGAGTTTTCCACCCTGCTAGGTTCGTCCTCGAAAAGAAAAAACACTGCCATTTCTTGGGTACGACTGCCAAGGCACACTGCAGAGGCAGGGTGTAGTGGGTCACAACTCGGATCAGGCAGCGTGCCCAAAAATGAATGGAGAGCCCTGTCCGTGAGTGACCCATTCGAAGGCGGCAGAGAGAAGAGAACCTTCTCACAAAGCGAGATCGAAAGAAGACAGATTTGAAATGATTCGGAAGTCGAGTTTTGATGGAATCGTATGGCTGTTCGAAACGCCAAAGGGAGCATCTATGATCCGATTGTCGTATCTGCCGTTATTGCATGTGCCCCCCCCACCAATTCTTGGAATGCAAGTGCCTCCCAACCTGTTCGCAGAAACGGTCGTCTCTCATGCGTTGACGTCAGCGGCTGCAGGCTTCGATTGTGCAACTTTGACTAAGAACTTCGGAGACAGCCAAAATGCCTCCACCATACTTTGAAGCTTAACAGACATACACAGTTGATAGTTCTACTACGCCTATTTTGTAGTACCTTTCCAACAATTAGATGAATGGATTCATCTGTCCAGAAGCCATATTTTTAAGAGCATCCGCAAAGGAGGAGATCCGCAGAACCCCTAAAAGTTCATTCTTCATTCGATCATTTCTCACCCTTTTCTCCCCATCTGGAAGGCTCATGCTGACATCCTGACTGCGTCGTTCAGTCACCGTTTTGCTATCATCGTCAAGTTCCTGCCCAAAAACATTTTTAGAGACTTCGTTATGAACCCCACTGCCATTGATCATACCACCTGATACCGGTACGTTAGCCTGCTCGTGCCTCCCATTTGCCAACAACCCCGAACTTTCCATGTCAGTATTCGGTTTGAATTCTTCTCTCCCCATCTTGCTGCCAACCATTACGTCCGAACCAGTAACAATGGTGGGATGCGTCGTCTTTTTCTTCTCCTTCTCAGCGCCTCTCACCCGCCCGCTGTCCCCCCGCCGGATGATTCCGGGCGGCAGAGTGATTCGCAGAGCTTTTAGTTTCTGCCAGTACAGATCCGATTCTCCCGAGGCGATGAGCTGGCGAGCGAACTGCATGACGTGGTGGCGAGGCGACGGGTCGTCATCGACAATGTTGATGATTGCACTGGGGGAGGGAGACCGGATGGGGAGGGGAAAGGGGGAGTGAAGCAAGGGGAGGGAGAGGGAGAGGGAGAGGGAGAGGGAGAGGGAGAGGGAGAGGGAGAGGGAGAGGGAGAGGGAGAGGCGACGGATCGTCATCTACAATGTTGATGATTGCACTGGCGGAGAGGAGAAGCAGCGTGATGGGGGTGGGGGAGGAGGAAGAGGGGGTGGGGGGTTGCGGAAGGGGGAGGGGGAGCGAGGTTAGGTTAGTGGAAGGAAAAGGGCGGGATGGAAGGGGAGGGGAAGGATTGTCAATTACAATGTTGATGACTGGACTGAAGGAACACGGTGGGGAGTGAGGGGAGAGGGGGAGAGAGTGAGGCTAGGAGGAAAAAAGGGAAGAGAGAGCAGCAGAGGAGTGGTTGGAGAAGTGGATGGGAAGAGTGCGGGAGGGGACGAGTGGGGGCATGAGCAGATGCAACAGTATAAGATTAAACTGGTGCAGAAGCAGTTTCACCCCCACCTCACAAACCCCCACTTCCCCAAGCCCCCAACCTCCAAGGCCCCACCCCCCAAGCCCCCACCCACCTCCCGGCCCCTTCCTCACCTGCTGCCACGGCCGTCCATGCTGGCACCAATCGCAGCGCAGATGTCTGCCACGTGGCACCGCGACGTGAACCGCTTCCTCTGCCTGCGCTCGCGATTGGTGCTGCTCTCATCCCTTTTGCTGCCACTATCACCCTTATGGTTGCTGCTGCCCCGATCGCTGTTGCTACCCCAGTTGCCACTGGGCGCTTCACTGCTGAGGTTGCCCTTTTCACAGCTGCTCTCCCCTCGCCTGCTTCTCGTTGAATCAAGCATTGCAGCTGACACTGATGACTGTGCTTCTCCTGCTCCCATCTCTGCTGCTGCTGCTGTATCCAGAGGTGACTTTTGAGTCGACTCAAAAGCCATCTCTACTGCTGCTGTATCCAGAGCACTGTTGTAAGAGGGGGAGAGGCGGGGATGGCGGAGGGAGGCGGGGGAGAGGCGGGGATGGCAGAGGGAGGGGGAAATAGGGGAGATCAGAGGAGAGGAGTCGTAGGCTTGGACGCAGGCATGGGAACAAATACGATGAGAGATGCAGACAGGTGCGAAGAGAGGGAGGGAAAAAAATGAAAGGCGAGAAAGAAGACACTGTAGTGAGTGAGTCCAATGGAGAGGAAGGCGAGTAAGAAATCAAGAGATGGGAACAAGACAGGGGATTGAAATTGGGTGCCACGGTGATACCTGCGAAAGGGCCCATAAATCCCCCCGAGCCGGAATATGCGGACAGCAACAACAGAGCCCTCGCCCTGGTTCCGCTCCACATGACTCCTGCCCTCCTTGTCCGGCTGGTGTGCATCAGATACCACCTCCCCGAGTTGTGCCTGGAAGGCCAGCCACTCCCTCTCGGCGGCGTAGCGAGCAACGGCCTTCGGGGTGAGCGGGCGCGGAGGGGAGCTGATGTGCGCGTATGGGGGAAGAATGGATGTAGCAGGGGAATGGATGGATCAAGCGAGAAGCAGAGGAGATGCTTACTAGATGAGGGGTTAGTGCGGTGGAGGAAATAACACCACCCTGTGTGCATGGTTGATGTTCCTACAGAGAAACACATGAGCGTGAGAGATGATTTGTCGAGGTGAGGCACGTGAAAAAGGTCCTTGCTTTTCTCACTCACTCTCTCACTCGCTCAGTCACTCACTCACTCACTCACTCACTCCTCATCCACCCATTGGCCGTCCCAGTCACCATAGACGCCTGTGGACGACAGATACCCGATCCACCTGAGCCCATGCCTGGCAGATTGCATCAGGTGCTGGCAACAGGAGGAAAGCACCTGAAGAAACACATGCGGAAAAATGGACAAGATAAAGTAACTGAGCAGGAGAAAAGCGATGCAGCAACAGGTGGAACAGCAAAAGAGTTTAGACGGCACGCAACTTGAAGCCATGTCTACAAAACTTACCACATCAACGTGTTGTGGGGATGAGGGGCGAGGAGAGAGGAGAGGGGGGATGGAGACGAGTACGTGAGTGGCCGAGTGGAGGGCGGAGAGAGCGGCCTGGGGGAGACACACGGTGCTGGTTGGGAGGGGGACAGGGGGGGGGGGGGGGGGGGGAAGAAGGGTGGGAGGGAGTTGAGATGAATGAGAGAATGGGATGGAGAGGAGTACGTGTGTGGCAGAGTGAATGGCAGAGAGAAGGGAGTGGCAAAGAGTGGGGAGAGGGGTGAATCGACGTGAGTAGGGTAGGGGTGGGGGGTGGAGGATGGTAAGGAGGGGAATAGAGGAGCAAAGGAGGGCAGAGGGCTTTCAAGGAGGGATAAGGAGGTAATAAGGGGGGTGCAGACCTGTCAGTGCCATGGTCCTCCAGCAGGTGTGCTTGTAAGCCCATGTGACACAATCGATGCCAATCCTCCTGGCTCCTGCACGTGCCTGACACGCGCCTGCCATGGGGGGTGGGGGCAGGCAGAGAGAGAGAGAGCAAGTGCAAGGGCTGTGGGGAGTGGGAAAGGGGGGGGGAGGGGGAAGTTGAAGCGTTGTCTCGTTGCTCTAGGAGAACAGTCAAGCAAACCTAACGCTAGTTATCTTCTCCCCTTAAGAGACATCCTGGTTCGAGGGGCCAGTTTGTGCAACGGCTGTTGGGGCCGCTGTCAGCCGTTATCTGCTGTCGAACGTTAGTAAGGTCTTTTGAGACGTGTGCAAGAATTTGTGTGGATAGAAGCAGCACAACATACCAGCCTTTGGATAGAAGCACACTCGACAGTGCCACTGCCACGTATCCCAGCCCGAAGCAGAAAAGATGCCTCTCGCCGCCAGGCGCCGCGTCGCCGCCAGGAGAGGCGGCGCAGTCTGCTGAGGCGGCGCCGCCAGCTGAGGCGCGCTGCGGTTCGACCGCCGCCGCGTCGCCGCCGGGCGACGCGCCGCTGCCGGGAGAGGCGCGCTCCCCCGGAAATCTCGAGGCGGCGGGGGAGGTGGAAGCAGAAGCGGCGGCGGGCGATAATGCGGCGCATTCTGACATTCTAGAGGCAGATGGGGGCGACGCGGGGAAAGGACGCGGCAATCCCGAATCGGAAGGAGAAATTGCAGCGGGCAAGGACGAGGCGGAAACTACTCCGGAGAAAGACCGCAATCCCGAGGCCGAGGCGGAGAAAGTGGGGGAAACTGCTCCCGCTCGCCTTTCCGACCTCCCTAAGACGAAACATGAGGCGACTGAACGGGCGGGATGATCGCGATAAGCGCGATCACCGGGATAAGCGGGGGCGCTTGTGGAGGCGCCACGCTTGCAAGCAGTGAACTGTTGGTGATGCGCGCTTCTCTCAATCAAGTGCGTGAAGCGCGGTGGGTAATTGAATCCACGCACGATACAGACGACTCGGTACGGATAGTCACATAGCGAGGGATGACTAAGGCGAGGATGAAGGGTAAGTGAAGAGGTGCGCGTCGAATGTAGCGCAAGAGGCGGAGTACCCATGATGGGACGAGAAGCGGAAAAATCGCGGCACATTTCTCCCCCATCACAGTTGCAAATCTGTCACATTTTTCATGAAACAGATCCCCGTTTGTAGCTCCTCCACGAGGAACGTACATTCCATGGGACTTCACTTGTGAGCAGATATAATACACCCTTTCACAATTACATCCCAAAACACGTTTCTATCGGTGGAACCGTCTTCAGCACCATCACACCGTGGCTTAAATAAATCCAATGTTTGATCCTGCAAAAGCGATTCGCATTCACAGGAGGAAAAGCGTGAGCATAAACCAATAATAAGTAATCAGCGATGCCGGTTACAGACTCTCTCTCAGCGCCACATAATGTAACACAATACCAACTCACTACAGCGAACGCACCCAGCCACCCCCACACTAAACCCCGCCCGCACCACTCACCAGACACTCTTGAGAATGGTCAGCATCCACAGCAAAGCGTTGCAGTGCCTCCCTTGCAGCAGCTAGCACTCCGGCAGCATTAAAAAGCTCGGGTGTGAAAGATGGGAAGGCAGATGGTGGGTCATCGGTGGTGGGTGGTTGAGTGGTGGACGGAGGGAGAGGTGGGGTGGGGGCGGAGAGGGAGGCGGCATGGAGGGCGAAGAAGAGTGCGAGCTTGAGAGCGTTGGGGCGGTCGACGCGATGGATTTGGCTAATTGCACACAGCAAGACGACGAGTCACATAAACACACAGAGACACAGCGACGTGTGTGACTGTCATTCACTTCCCCAGCCCCCACCCCCCTTCCCATCCACACACAAAATGTCTCGCGGCACACATGGATGCAGCAGTGCACTACGCACATGCTTTTTCAATCCTTCAGGGACACAATTTACGGACAAGAAGCTGAGATATTAAAGCAAGAAAGCAGCAATCAACACATGCAATGGGCCAATGGCGCACCTGCGGTGGACCACAGCTGCTACCCACCCACCCACCCCCCTGCCACTCAACCCCCTGCCACTCAACCCCCTGCCACTCAACCCCCTGCCACTCAACCCCCTGCCACTCACCCCCTCACCACCCCAACCTGCTGCACCTTCAACCGGTAAACAGAGCAGCATTCTGGCCTGCAGCACACACAAGGAACAGAGGCACACCTGCGGAGGTGTTGGAAGCAGACGATCACAGCTGCCACCCACCCCCCTGCCACTCCAACCTGCTGCCCGCCCTCCTCCCCCGCCTTCTCCCCTTCCTTCTCCCCCCTCACCCCTTCTTCCACCAACACCAGCTTCAGGAACCATCTCTCTGCCACGTCAGCATCCACATCCAGACGCCACATCAGCGCCGCCCAACGGGTCCACACTGACCGTGCAGCTTCCAGGAAATGAGGCTGCATATGAGCAGCCATAGAGTGTGGGTTCCCAGAGGAAATGCTCCATTGCTCCTGAAGCCTATTGAAGTTTTCATTCCATTGCTCCAAACACGGTCCTGCCCGCTGCGTTGCCACCTCACTCCACGCCCGCTCCAGCTGGTGCCGTGTGGCGTCCTCGCTGGCGCCGTTGTAGATGGCCACGTCAGCGTGTGCCAGCCTGGCAGATGACGTCATCTGGGTGGTGGATGGTGTGAGTGGAGAGTGAAGGTCAAGAGAAGAGGTTGAGGAAGGGAAAAGGAGAGATTCAGGAACAAAGCTGTTAATAAAGAGGATAAAGGAAGAAGGGAAAGAAAGCGACAGGGGTAAGAAGAGAAGGGGTAAAGGGGAAGAGGGGGAGGATGGCAGACAGAAAGAAAATGCTGTGGCAGGGGGAAAGGAAGCAGAGACGAATCGATGCACATAAGTACACACATCCCCACACACACATCCCAGCACCCATTCCCCCTCCGCACATGCATGAGAACAAGGCTTCAAACACCCATCCACCAGTCTACCTACACCATCCACCAAACCAACCTGCGCAGCAATCCTCTTCCCCGCCTCCTCTTCAGTCACCCCATTCCGTGCCATCAACCGAGCCTTCGCCTCAGCCTCGGGGACAAACACCACCCAGACCTCGTCTACAGTTTGGTCCGAGCCTGCTTCGACCATCATGGCAGCCTCCACTATAAGCACAGCCGCAGGAGGAGCTATAGGGCGAATAGTAAACGAATTTCTACATGTCTCAGAGGCAGATGCCTTTTCAGTGCACTCAGAAAAAGTGGACGCTCCTCCTGTGAACTCAGACGAAGTAGGTGCCTTTTCACAATTGGTCGCCTTCTTAGGCGACTCAAAAGTCACCTCCCATCCGCCTGCACCTGCAGCCTCCCTCTCCTCCTCCACTATCTGTCGCACCATTGGCCACACCACCCCCGTCAGGGCAGCCATTTTTTCCGGGCAGGAAAACACTTGAGCTCCCAGTGCCGCCCGGTCAATCTGCCCATCTGAAAGACGCACCCGAGAAACCAAAAGAAAAAGGTGTTGGGGTGATGAAGCGAAGGAAAGAAAACCAGAGAGATAAGGATTAGAAGGCAAGCACTGAGGCCAATGGGAATAGCAGGGAATGAGTGGAGCAACAAGGAGATCTCCATCTTGCAAAGTCACATACCCACACATACCCACCTGCAGCGCGCACCACAGAGGCCCCAAAGAGCTCCACAATGCGGCGGTACGCAGGTGTGCCGGGCTCATACGCTCGATGGGCGAGCCGGTCACAGTCCACCGCCCCCACCCTCCACTGCCTCCCCTGCCCTGCTCCCCCCTCTTCTGAATGCCGCCCTTGCCCTGCCTCCCTTTCCTCTGAGTGCCACCCCTCCCTCGCTGCTTCCCTGCTTCCTTCTGGCTCAATTGGAACAGCTGCAGAGACAGTGGCAGCAGCAGAGGGAGAAGCAGCAGCAGCAGTAGGAGCAGAGGAGGAGGAGGAGGAGGAGGCGAGGGAGCAGAGCAAGCGAGCAACAGTGGATTTGCCAGAGGCAATTCCTCCTGTGAGCCCCACCAGGTACGGCCCCGCCTGCAGCCGCCCCTTGTGCTGCCGCCTCTGCCTCTTCTGCTTGCTGGTGTGGCGAGATGGTGCGAGGAAACAAAGGGAAGGGGGGGGAGGGAATAGGGGAAGAGGAATAGGGGGATGCATAGAAGAGAAGAGTGTGTTGAGAAAAAATCAACGGCAGTCACATGGCAGGCCAGGGGAAGGAAAGCAAGCGCGCAAGAGAACAAGCAAGCAAGGAAAAGCATCAGGGTGGAGTGTGGGAAACACTGAAAGGTTAGAGACGAAAAAACACCGGTGAAACGTGCGGACGACTCGCCTTGGCAGAGGCAGGAAAGTTCCGAGACATTGCTCCCTGAGCAGGGAGGAGCTTAGCTTGCTGATGTCAGCCGCTGTAGAGGTGGTGGCGGGAGCGAGTGGAAGAGCAGCGGTTGATGGCGCTGGTACTGTTGATGCCACCACTACCTGGTGTGTGGATAGGGATACCAACCAACACACAGGGGTCTATTTTTTATGCGCCTCAAAGCAGAGCAGCGGTTGGCGGTGCTGGTACTGTTGATGCCACCACTACCTGGTGTGTGGGCGCGGGCATGTGCAGTGCAGGCACAAAGGAGGGTCGGTTTTTCTTATGGTACCTCTAAAACAGGGGCTGGCACTGTTGACAAGGCCAGCACCACTGCCTGGTGTATGGGCATGGCCGTGCACACGGTTGGGTTGAATTTGAGGCGCACCGAAAAACGGATATTACAATCATTGGGCTGGGAAAGCTAGGAGCAGAAATGAAGCCGCACTTACGTGTAACGGAGTAATCTGATTGGCCGCTCTCATCCTGTTGATAGCCGCGGCGCCTCCCACTGTCTCCTCGCTAACCACAATGCAGTCCAGGCTCGGATCCGAACCTCCCCGCTCAGGTACGGGATCTTGGATTGGCGCAAAATCAAGCCGAACCAAGCCGGGAGCCTTGCCCTGTCGCTGTAGCTCCTGCTGCAGAAACTTCTCGGCAGCTTCCTTGCGCTCGTTGTAGGGCTGGATCATCTGAGGGGAACGGGGATGAGGGGAACGGGGATGAGGGGAACGGGGATGAGGGGATGGGGATGAGGGGAACGGGGATGAGGGGAACGGGGATGAGGGGAACGGAGATGAGGGGAACGGAGATGAGGGGAACGGGGATGAGGGGAACGGGGATGAGGGGAACGGGGATGAGGGGATGGGGATGAGGGGAACGGGGATGAGGGGAACGGGGATGAGGGGAACGGAGATGAGGGGAACGGAGATGAGGGGAACGGGGATGAGGGTATGGGGATGAGGGGAACGGTATTCGGGAACGGGGATTCGATTCGAAGAACCGGGATCCGATGGGGGAACGGGGATTCGGGGAACGGGGATTCGATTCAGGGGACGGGGATTTGATTCGGGGAACCGGGATTCGATTTGGGGAACGGGGATTCGAGAAACGGGGATTCGGGGAACGGGAATTCGATTTGGGGAACCGGGATTCAATTCGGGGAACTTGGATTCGGGAAACGGGGATTTTGGAAACGGGGATGAGGGGAATGGGTATTCGGGGAATGGGGAAGGTGGTAATGGGGATGAGGGGATGGGATTGAGGAGAAGGGAGATGTGAAAGTGGAGGGAGAGGGAAGATGGAAGGAAGTTGGGGAAGGAGAGGGGGGTTGATTCACCGCACCTCACACCTCACTGCCATGCTTCACCGCACCTCACACCTCACTGCCATGCTTCACCGCACCTCAACCCTCACTGCTGTGCATCACCGCACCTCACTGAGATACTTCTTGCTCAAAAGAGGTCCATCCGCAATCCCTACAACAATGCAGCTGCTGCTACCGCCACCGCCGCTGCTGCTGGTGATGGTATCTTCCCCCCCTTTGTCTGGTGTCGCCGCCACCATCGCTACAGCCGCGCGCAGCAGCGTGCGATGCCCGTCGTGGAAGCGATCGAACGTCCCCGCTACAACCACCCCGCGGAACCTGCCACGTGGCAGCAGCTCATTGGACGACGGATCAAAGCGGGTCGCTGGCTCCATTTCCCCTGACGCAGCGTTCCCCTGTTCGGTTCCTTGAAGAGCACTTAAAGCTGGTGCACTTTCTAAATTTACTATCGAGTTCGTTTGTACCGGATCATTCACACCCTCCGCGTCTGCGATGCCGCTGCCAGCGAGAGCGTTCGATCCGCAGCGAATCTCGGTTTCCGAAGCGAAATCGCCTAAATCCGTCGATAACTCTTCGCGTAGAGGTTTCGCCGAACGTAAAGTTACCAGACTCGGTATTCCCGAGGTTTTACTTTGCAGGAACGGGAGGCTGCGACTGTTGAGCGAACCAGGAGCTACTCCGCGTCTCGCCTCCGCTCCTCCCCGAGCATTCCGCGAAATACTGTTTGCAACTGGAATGAATGCCAGCGATATCGGCGGTCGCTGCGCAGAAAAAAGCACTCCCGCCATACACGCACCGCACACACAACTCTAGAGGTTTCCCGTGTTCACCCTCTTCTACGTTTCTGCCTTGGGTGTCCTCTAGGCTTTCTACCTTCATCGCCAGGCAAGAACTGAAATCCTCACTACAATTCAGTCTCGCTTTTAGTGAAAAGCAGTATGGTCGAGCATACAGTCTCTATAAAGTATCCTTCAATCCAGCACAAAATGGAAAACTGGAGCTACAGCTGATTTTTTAAAATCGGGAGGTTTGTGCGGTGTACAGCAGCACAATCCTTTCGCACCACAGAAACTATTCCCATTTTCGTGAACACAACAAACAAGGTCCAACCAATCTCACGGTTGAAAACGACACGGACTCCACGGAATGCTTGTAGAGCTGACGCCACCTTTGAGAACATATCAGCAAATTAGGAAAGAGGGAAATCATATTTCATCGCATACATTCTGGAAAAGCGAATAATATTTGGAGGTTTGCGGCTTTGTATATGCACTGTTGCAAGAACACGGTCTAGACGGACCGCAACGCATCCTTCAATACTGTAGAGCTTCTTCTCAGGAACCCAACCAAGTTTACAAAACAAACCATCCCAGAATGCTGGCAAAATGCTGGAAACGTGTGCAGCACAGTAACTTTATTGGGCAAATTTTTTTGTCTTGGCTGATACACTGTACAAATGTTGTTTTCTTCAAAGCGAAATTCCACGACATACTAGAGAAACCAACAATGTACAACCAGACTGTAGCGCCACTGTCATTTTTTTAATTATTAATGTGGGTCATCTGGTCACTTACGTGAGATAGCAGGAGCTCCCCAAAATCCGTATGTGAACACCAGAAAGTCACCCGTGGCCTCAAAACCGCATCGCTTTAAATATTTCCAGCTGGCAGCAATTGGGTATTCTCCAGCCACGGAACGGAACCGCAAGAGATTGGTGGATTGAGCCGCGTGCTGAAAATGTGCTGCACAGCTGTAAAATGCCCTCGACTTCCTCCCTCCCTCCCCTCCCACCCACCCCACCCTTCCCAACTGTTTCTTCCCTGTCACGCCTACGCCATTTCGGCACTGGCGTATTTTGGAAGTTGTGGCGTAGGGCGCGCTCTCACATCGAAGTCAACCCTGCGTTGTTACGAATTTTGTTGGACTGACACCCGCCTGGGAACGTGACACCCTTCCGAACGCATTTGTTTTCCTGAATCATATTTATGTACACATTCAGATCTGACCAGCATTTTCCAGATAGGCCCTCGTCATTTGCTGCCCACCCCTCGAGCTGTTTTGCGTTTCTCCTCTCCACTTCACGCATCTCAATTTTGGAAAGCTTCAGTTAGAAATTTGTTATCACATGCTACTTGAATCAGCGAGGGCCGAAGTTTTCTTGTAGAATAATTCACGTTTCGCCATCCGTTACGACTGCGTCCTTCCTAATATCAAAGTCTTGAACTACGTGACGTTGTTTCTTTCAAAAATCACAGCCGCCATGTCCGAGCCAACAATACACGCCGAAATGCTGAATTCTTCCGCTTTTCTTTGCAATCCCTGCGACAAATTGAAGGGCTGCTGCCATCCTGACGGGCCAATTGAGCCCTCGCGAGGCGAATTGCCCCACGAGATTTGTTCATCGAACGGGGCCTTCCAGGCTACCTGGTTCAACCGCGACCGCGTGCGCCATGGTTCTGGCGTCTCTAGGCGACACCAGTGCGACAGCGTCGCGTACTCGCCGACCAATTGCTCTCCGACAAGTCCCCTGGACGGCTCCAAATCAAGTACTCGTCCAGCAACGGCAAATCACCCTGGCGTTTCCTCTTTGAAAATTAATATCTCCGAGCATCCGCCATCGAAGCCGACCGCGTGTCCCAGTGGCCGCATGCGAAGCGCTTCCCTCGCCGCAACAACCGCTTCCGCTACGAGTTATTGCGAAAATGGAGCTCCTGGAGTTTCTGCTGACGTGGATACGGCGAATTGGCGACGAAACAGCCGGATTAATTCCCGAAGTTGCGACATCAGCAGCGGAATTTTTGGGAGTGGTCCCGTTTTAGTCAGCCCCGTTACAGGATCAGCAGACTGGACATCCGTATATTGTGATGTCGGTGTAGTCCATTCAGCAACATCCTCCAACCACCGTGGTGGTCAGAGCCAGTTGGATCGTTTTGAATTTCTTAAATTTGCAGAGAGCAAGACCCTGACCTCTGCTGGAGGCTCGGCACCACTACCGAAGCTGGCCGAGCAGCCTCGGTGTCTTGAGAGACGAGTGTCTGAATCAGCAGCAATGCCAAAACGGAGGATGCCAAACACAGGAGGAAGCGCAGGAGCGCCCGGAACAACGAGAGCAGGAGGGAGCTTCAAACCAAGGCAATCCGTGTTTGAGTGGGCGACAGAGACAAGAATCAAGCAGAGACAGCAGAGGCAAATTGAGACTGAGAAGGCTTCAGAGCAACAGTCAAGAGCTCCTACGGTGGTAGCAGGGAAGGGTGATGTAAGAACTTTTAGTGCTAGCACAAAAGAGTTCCACCTAAATCATCTGTAGCACCTGATGGTAGTGGTAGTGACTAGCTAAACCAGTACTGTATATGCATCAACTTAAGCAACTTACCACAAGACAACACTTGAAATGGTGATGCAGTGTTACAGTAGTCTAGTGCTGTGTCGCTCTTCATACTGCAATGCGGACAAGTATATGCAGGAACATGCTGACGGAGTTTTACTGCACGTACGGTAACATGCTTGTGCCCATGTTTCATGGTACGGTACATCGTTTCATGCTGCATCTGAACCGAACCAACCCTAGCTAGAAACGCCTGTGCTTCTCCTCCATCCCATCACCTATCAGCAGCCTCTAACTCAGCTAGAGACAGAGGCACACACATCCCCCCCTACTCGCACACACACTTCCTCGCTCAGTCATCATTCAAACATATTGTACACAACAGTTACACAACGGGCCCCTCCATATTTACACTTTATGACCCACTCCCTGTCCTTGACAAACATGCACTCGTACACTCTGAAGCTCTCACCCCCCCTCCAACGCTTCTGCTTCACATACATTCATGGCTGAACATGATGTGTCTGTCCTTGTGCATCACACAAACATCGCATACCACAATCCACCAGTTACAGTCAGTCCCAGCTGCTCCTCCTTGGCAGTCGTGGCACGTAGTGCACATACAGAGCTATGGTAATGTGCTTCATCCACTCTCTACCATGCTACTGCCTGCCCCTCATTCATTTATGTACTCGCACACTCACACAACCACACTCACTCATATCCCTCCCACCCTCCCCAGTTGCTTCTCCTCAGAAGTCAGTGGCATGTAGCGCACACCCATGGCTGAAGTGCTTTAATCACACCTTACCAACCTACCCGCCTGTCCCTCCTTACTCACTCACTCATCACCAACTCCCTCACTCACTCAGACACTAGTCACTCCCTCCCCAGTTGCTTCTCCTTAGCGGTCAGTGGCACGTAGCGCACGCCCATGGCTGTGGTGCGAGTGACAGTGCCGTCTGCACCCTTGTCTATCACCTCTAGGTCCTGGGAGGAAGCAAGGTAAGGCAGTGGGGAGGGGGCAGCGGAGGGGAGAAGTGGGCGGAACGAAATTCTCAATCATCTCATACCGTGACAGTCCTGAGGTGACTTTTGAGTCGACTCAAAATTCTCAACCATCTCATACCGTGACAGTCCTGTCTGCACCCTTGCCTATCACCTCTAGGTCCTGGGAGGTAGCGCGACAAGGCCGGGGAGAAATCAGGGGAGGGGAAAGGCAGGCGGGAGTGCAATTTGTTTGCGAAGATTTGAGAAGATTTGAGGCGCCTCATAAAATGACAGTGCCATCTGCACCCTTGTCTATCACCTCTGGGTCCCGGGGGGTAGCAAAACATGGCAGGAGGGAGGAGGGGGACGGCGGCTGGTCACTACTCGAGGCGCCTCAGCACGTCGCATTGCGGCAGCACAGAACGTACAGCTGAAGCCAGGAGGCAGAATGGTGATTCCCGTTATCTTTGACACGTCTCAAAAGCATTGCAACGGCACCCCACAACCTATCCTGCCCCTGATTACCCCCAATTTCCCAAAATTTGTTCCCTTTTGTTCCCCCCTCCCTTCTCACCCTTCCTTCCCCCCTAATCCTTCTCCCCCTCCCTTCCCCCCTCCCTTCTCACCCTTCCTTCCCCCCTAACCCTTCTCCCCCTCCCATCCCCCCTCCCTTCTCACCCTCCCTTCCCCCCCTCCTTCCCACCCATCTTCCCCCCATCACCCCCCCCCCCCCCCCCCCCCCCTTCCGCACACCTGCATGAAGCGGCCAACGGGAATCACCATTCGGCCACCGGGCTTCAGCTGATCCACCAGGGCCTGGGGGAGCTCTGGTGGGGGGGGAAGGACAGGGAGAGGTGGGGAAGGATGGGGAGGGGTGGGGAGGGGTGGGGAGGGATGGGGAGGGGTGGGGTGGGGTGGGGTGCGGTGGGGTGCGGTGGGGGGAGGGGTGGGGTGGAGGGAAAGGGTAAGGGCAGGGAGAGGTGGGAGGGCGCATCCATTCTCCCTCCCGGCTTCAGCTAATCCTCCGGAGCCCGGGGGAGTTGTGGGGGGGGAAAGAAAAGGAGGAGAGGGGAGGGGTGGGGTGAAAGGATGTGGGTGAGTGGTAAAGCAGGGAGAGAGGGGAGGGTGGTTCCGGCTGGTGGATCAGCTGAAACCGGGTGGTGAAGAGGAGGGTGGTTTCACGTAGCTGGTTGTGCTGTGCGTGTGATGGTGACTTGACAGCGCATGCGGACAGCAGCCGAGAGCGTGACTCGATGCACAGGGTCTCACGGTAGCAGTTTTGAGAATTATAAAAAACGATGCACAGGGTCTCACGGTAGCAGTTTTGAGAATTATAAAAAACGATGCACAGGGTCTCACGGTAGCAGTTTTGAGAATTCTCAAAAACGATGCACAGGGTCTCACGGTAGCAGTTTTGAGAATTCTCAAAAACGATGCACAGGGTCTCACGGTAGCAGTTTTGAGAATTCTCAAAAACGATGCACAGGGTCTCACGGTAGCAGTTTTGAGAATTCTCAAAAACGATGCACAGGGTCTCACGGTAGCAGTTCTGAGAATTCTCAAAAACGATGCACAGGGTCTCACGGTAGCAGTTTTGAGAATTCTCAAAAACGATGCACAGGGTCTCATGGTACTCACAGTAGCAGCCCCCACGTTGATGGCATCGTAGGACCACGAGCATGGCTTCATGTGGCCAAGATACTCACAAAGCCAGGAGCATGCAGAGCAACAGAGCTTGCAGAGCAACAGAGCGTGCAGAGCAACAGAGCGTGCAGAGCAACAGAGCACCAACAAGGTCTCACCCGGAGCAGCAGCCCCCACGTGGATGGCATCACACGGGCCAGCCTCAAGGTACCCCTCCTGCCCATCCGAGTTGACTTTGAGTCGACTCAAACGTCATGCACAGCGCAAGGGCATGCACAGAGCCGGCCAGAGCGAGCAGAGAGTCTTACCTGGAGCAGCAGCGCCCACGTGGATGGCATCATATGGAATGGACCCACGTCTACAGGGCCAGCCAGAGCATGAACAGGGACTCACCAGCAGCAGCAGCGCCCACGTGGATGGCATCATATGGGCCCGCCTCAGGGTACCCCTCCCGCCCATCCGCCTCTGGGAAGGAGGACGGAAGAGGGAGGAGGAGGGATTGGTGAGATGGGCGGAGGAGACGGTGAGATGAGAATTGACTGCGAGGCGGTGGTGGGAGTAAAGGAAGGCGATAGTAGGGGGAAGGTGGGTGGGACGGGCGCGATGCAAGGGACACTTTGATATGAACAAGGAGAGACGTGGCAGGTAGGGAAAGGGAGAGACGTGGCAGGTAGGGAAAGGGAGAGACGTGGCAGGTAGGGAAAGGGAGAGACGTGGCAGGTAGGGAAAGGGAGAGACGTGGCAGGTAGGGAAAGGGAGAGACGTGGCAGGTAGGGAAAGGGAGAGAGACACGGGGGTTGAGAAACAGGACCTCCACAGCAGGGTAGCATGCAGAAGAACACTCGTCTTCCCTCCTTCCCCTTCTTCCCTCTTTCCCCTTCTTCCCTCTTTCCCCTTCTTCCCTCTTCCCCCCTCCCTAATCCCTCCCTTTCGCTACCCCCCTCCCCGTTTCCCCCTCATCCAAACCCCACCATGTCAACCAACCATGTATCGACAGCTGTCCACCGTCCATCAGTTCTGCCGCCCGGCCGGCCTGCACTGCCGCCCGGGACCGCTCCACGAGCTCCGGAATGTGCTCCACGCCCACCGCCCGCCCCGTGGGGCCCACCAATAGCGCCATGACAGCTGTCAGGTAGCCCGATCCCGACCCCACGTCAAGCACGCGGTTACCGGGTTGCAGGTGATTCTCTAGAAAGGCAAGGCAGTAGCCGTGCTGGTGGGGCAAAGAAGGGGGTTGGAGTGGGGGGAATGGCGGATGGTAGGGGGTGATGGGGGTGGTGAGGAGGGGAATTTGAAGGGGGAAGGAGGAAAAGAGGTGACCATTACTCACTCGTAGCCCCACCACACGTCCAGAACGCGGTTACCCGATTACAGGTGATTCTCTAGAAAGGCGCGGCAGCAGCCGTGCGGGTTGGGGGGTGGCGATGGCAAGGAGGTTGCATCTACAAGTGACCGAAAAGTGAGCAATGTCAGAATCCCAACCACTAGACCACTGGGATAAAAGGGCTTGTTTCAGTAGCGGGTCAGTGCGCCCATAACCCCCCAGGCGAACGCGCCTGTAACCCTCTCCAGGATCAATCGGGCATCCACAGTGCAGATCTACTGACACCCCCCCACACTGGGAGGCCCAGGACTAAGCACAGCGGTAACGGCCTACATGTGCATACACCGGGAATCGAACCCGAGACCGCTCTGATACCATGTAAGAATCCCAACCACTAGACCATTGGGATAAAAGGGCTTGTTTCAGTAGCGGGTCAGTGCGCCCATAACCCCCCAGGCGAACGCGCCTGTAACCCTCTCCAGGATCAATCGGGCATCCACAGTGCAGATCTACTGACAAGCAAGGTATCGCACCAGCATTTAGAATAGTTACGTACCATGTGAGGTGCGGAAATGGTGACGTTGAAACCTGCTCATGAACGGCGAATGCCATCATGTCATCCCACATGCCATGCCACAGGTCACATTCCATGCCCACACATGCAACACAGGCCACATGTCATGCCACATGCCATGCCATGCCACAGCGCACAGTGCACACGCCACAAAAGCGCATGAAGGATTATGGAGACATAAGCATGCGATAAAAATCGTCAGCCATCCGACGTGAGCCATACCACACATGACATACACATGGCACATGCATCGATACCTTACATTCACTTATGGGCTGGGGACATTGTCATAAGCCATTGACTTGGTCAACGCACCTATGGGCTGGGGGAAGTTATCATAGGCCCTTAAATTGGTCAACGCACCTATGGGTTGTGGGGAATCATCATAAGCCGTTGACTTGGTCAACACGTAGTCAGCACGGTCAATCTGCTTCATGGCCTCCGCGATGCGCTCTGATTGGACGATTCCGCTGCCTGGCAGGTAGCACGGACAGGACGAGGCAGGGGTGGTTGAGGAAGAGGCAGGGGTGGTTGAGGAAGATGTTGCGGCGACTGAGGCTGCTCTAGGCTCGAGGTATTGTGATGAATGTCAGAATGAATGTCTGCAGGATGGTCAGCATGGCTGTCAGCATGAATGTCGGAATGGATCTCAGCATGCATGTATGTAAGCATGCAAAGTGTCAGCATGAATGTCAGCATGAATGTCTACCTAACATCTAAATGAACTTCTGCATGAATGTCCGCATGAATGCCAACTTGTCTGTATGTCAGCACGAATGTCAGCACATGTATGTCAGCATGACTCAGCATGAATGTCTAGAGAATCCTCCAAAAGAACGATTCATGGTCAACACAAACTGTGGTTGTAATTATAGAGGCATGAATATAGGCATCGCAATCCATCCCTTTATTCACGCACGGAGCAGCTTGTCGACCATCTCGCCGTTACTATCGCCATGGCATGTCCAGCTCATTCTTTCGCTCCGCCTCACACGCTCCCAGAACTCCGAATCCTTCTCTCCTCCCCCGTCTCTTGCGCCACTGCCACCCTCTCGTGGCGCGATCGCCGGCTCCGTCGCTTCCGTCCCCCCCGCGTCGCCACCCTTGCCAAAATGGTAGTTGTCGCTATGCACCCCGCCTTTCGCGGCGCACGATGGGGAAGCGGGAACGAAGAGCGAGCGGTCTGAGAAGAGAATGGAAGCGACGGTGACGGCGAGCGCGGGTAGTGAGCGGAAGGAGCGGCGGAAATGGCGCCGGGAGATGCGGGAAGACGAAGTGATTGAAACTGTCGAAATCATTCAGAAACTCGTCGCTGATTATGAGAAGGAAACTTTACTTCAGACTCTAACACTAAGAGCTCTAGGTTCACCAAGAATCTAAGCTTGCCAAGAACGCAATGCGATCAGCAAGTAAAATTCGAGGAGAAATGATAATGCAGAAACATGGATTCATGGCAATGGCTCCTATGTGAAAGATAAGCAAGACTGGAATGCGAAACTTCAGACCTGGGCGTGTTCAATTCCGAATGTGAAAAAAACCCTCCCTTCTGTTTTAGTTGAGCCTTGCCAATCAGACGAAACCACGTGTACCCACAACCCCGTATGAACCCCCAACTCGTCTAATCTTTGAATAGATTGTCTCGCAGTGTGCGCACTCTACACCATCGTCGTCGTGGCATGCACAACAGCTCTGCAGCCAATAGCAGTGGCTAGGTTTGCAGAGCCCAAAGCCAATCACATGGACCCAACGCTTGACCGCCTGCGCACTTCTTCTGCCATCTCTCCAACGAAATCAGGCCCGCACAGTTACAGCTGACGAAAGCGAATCATAAGCTGTTACCGTGTCGCGCTCAGTTCGTGCAAGCCTTCCAGATTTCACTGCCCCTGGCAGGGTCATAAGAACTGGCAGAGGGATAGCTAGAAATGGCTGAAGAGAAAGAAACCTCTGCTGTTGTGTCAGTGTGTCTTAGATGCCGTGCTCTGCAAGCATTCCATCGATTTCACGTTTTGGCGAGGACCAAGGGCAAGGATGCTGGAGATTGTAGTCGTTACGTCGTTTGCATTTCGCTCATAGTACAGACCCGTCAGGCTCTCTCGACTTTCTCCGAATTTCAAATCTTGATAGCTCAGACCTCCGACCGACTTACGCGGTCCAGTCATAAACAGGGTCGCTCAGCCGACACCTCTCGTAACATCTGAGCTCCAGCATTCAAGTCGAAACATTCGTAGAAATGGATCGGGCAAGCGGGGAAGACGGCACAGATCCGTCAGCAAGTTTCGTCGACGGGATTCACGAAAGGCTAGGCGAAGTTAGCGAAATGGAATTGGCGGAACCGACCGAACCAGACGATGGGGAAGCCGCAAGGGGCCGGGGAGAGGCGGAAGAGGCGGTGCGAGAGGCGCGAGAATTGGCGCGAGAGGCGGCGCGAGAGGCGACGCGAGAGGCGCGAGAGTTGGGGCGAGAAATACGAGAGGCGCGAGTGTTGGCTCGAGAGTTACGAGAGGCGCGAGAGGCGACGCGGGAGGTGCGGGAGGCGGCTGGAGAGGCGCTAGCGGCGGCTACGGAAGGTGGTGCTCTATCGACACAGGAGCTGGTGAACATGATCTACCGCGCCGCGAACCCCGTTAACCCCGTGAACGAGGATGATGATGATGATTCGTCGTTGGACGACCACGGCGATAGTGGCGACGACAGTGAGGAGGAGGACGAGGAGGCCAATAACGGGGATATGGAGGCGATGGAAGCGAGGGTTGCGAGGGACGCGAGGGATGCGGAGATGGCGGAAGAAGGGGAGATTGTTATGACTGACGAGGGTGATATGCTGGACGACGATACAGACGACGATGAAATTGACGAGGATGATGATGATGATGACTCGGACGACGATAGCGAGAATGATTATAACGAGTTTGAGGACCCGCACTATAACGAGCGGAGGAGGTCGGTTCTGAGGGTTGCGTCCGCGATAGCAGCAACTCCGCTAGACGACTGGGGCGCGGTGAAGGGCGCGGAGGTGCACGAGGAGGCAAAGTACCTTTTGGATAACACCTGCTCCACATACCGCCTGCCCTCGGGGGTGTGCCACCACCAGTAAGCCCCTAACCCCGACTAGCAGCAGTAAGCTCCTGATCCCTGACCTCACCTCCCCCAGTATGCCTCTGACCTTAGTTAGCAGCAGTGGGATCGTCATCCCACGCTCCCACTACTATCTATCCGTGGCTTGCTGCTCGCTCCTGCTCGCTCCTGCTCGCTCCTGCTTGCTTCTGCTCGCTCCTGCTCGCTCCTGCTCGCTCCTGCTCGCTCCTGCTCGCTCCTGCTCGCTCCTGCTCGCTCCTGCTCGTGCATGTTGCAGTCTGGCCTATAGGCAGCCCCCCCCGGTCCCTACTTTCCTCGAATCATCCATCCTCCCATCCTCCCATCCCTCATCCTCCCCATCCCCTCCTCCCTCATCCTCCCCATCCTCCCATCCCTCATCCTCCCCATCCCCTCCTCCCTCATCCTCCCCATCCCCTCCTCCCTCATCCTCCCCATCCTCCCATCCCTCATCCTCCCCATTCCCTCCTCCCTCATCCTCCCCATCTTCGACTCTTCCCCTTCCCTTGCGTTCCGCAGGTGCTGCGACGCTTTAGTGGCAGGCCCCGGCCCTGTGGCCTCCGCATGTGTAATTTCTGCCGTTCTGAACCCCTTTTCACCCTCCGCAATCACCCCTTGTCTTCCGTGCCTGCTTGCTCTACCTCGCCCCCAGGTGCTGCGACACTCTCGTGGCAGGCCCCGGCCCTGTGGCCTCTGAATATGCCGCACAAAGCTCTGCCCGGGACGATGCAGCACCAGCACCAGCATCAGCATCACACTCCCACTCTCCTTCCTCCGCCCCTTCCTCCTCCGCCGCCCCCCCACCGACCCCACCGTTTTCCCGAGAGATCATATGCACGGTGCAGCGCATGGTCACGCTCTACAGCACGGCGCGGCGGGAGGTGGTGGCAGTGACGTCGCTGCCTTCAGAGCCTTACAGCGTTGACCGTTTTGGAGATGTGGTGGTTGCGGGGTGCTATGGGACTGTCTGCTTCTACCTCATTCGGCGGGAGGTGGTGAAGAAAACAGGTGCGTTTTGTTAACAGTAAACAGGTGCGTTTTGTGTCGTCGCCCTGTTCATTCACCTGGGAGGTGAGATGATATGCAAGGTGCAGCACAATGGTCACGCTCTACAGCATGGCGTGTAATGAGTCGAGTTTTGAGTCGACTCAAAACTCGACTCACGGTGCAGCGCATGGTCACGCTCTACAGCACGGCGCGGCACAGAGGGAAGTGGTGGCGGTGACGTCGCTGCCCTCGGAGCCCTACTTTTGAGTCGACTCAAAACTGGAGCCCTACAGCGTTGACAGATTTGGGGATGTCGTTGTGGCAGGGTGCTACGGCACCCACCGTGTGCACAGGGTGCTACGGCACCCACCGTGTGCCTCTACCTCATCTGCAGGAAGCTGGTAAAAAAGACAGGTACGTGCACCCAGTCGCCTCACAGCAGAGGATGGTGGCGGTGTATCGCTGCCGCCCAACGCCACCATCCTCGGGCGTCGCTGCCCTCGGAGCCCTACAGCGTTGTGGCAGGGTGCTACGGCACCCACCGTGTGCACAGGGTGCTACGGCACCCACCGTGTGCACAGGGTGCTACGGCACCCACCGTGTGCACAGGGTGCTACGGCACCCACCGTGTGCACAGGGTGCTACGGCACCCACCGTGTGCGCAGGGTACAGGTTTGTGGGCTTGTCCAGCAGTTTTGTTTTTGGTGGGGAGAGGGGGGGGGGAGGGGGTTTGGGGGGCTCATTGATTTTTTTATTTGAACACTTCAGCCATCATTCGTCCTCCATCCTTTCCCCCCTTCCCCCCCACAGCTGGTTGGACCAAGGACGGCGCTCCAGAGCTCACCACCGCATCCCACCCCGCCCACCACCATCACCACCACTACCAACCACAGCAGCAGCAGAGCGGCGTCAAGGGCGCAGCAGGGGCAGCAGCAGCAGAGGAGGAGGAGGAGGAGGAGGAGAGGGTGTGGTTTGAGGCGGCAGGGATGGTGGGGGGGTTCGAGAGCAGTCTGATTGGCTCCTCTATGTGTAACTCTGTGCGGTTCGGCACAGTTGGTAACTGGGTGCGTGGGTGGGGGGGATGGTTGGATCTCGGGGGAGCATAGGTGAGGGGGCTGGTGGGAGGGAAGCAAGGGCAGGGATAGTGGTGGGGGGGTTCGAGAGCAGTCTGATTGCCTCCTCTATGTGTAACCCTGTGCCCTTCGGCACCATTGGCAACTGGGTGCGTGGGGGGAAGGGGGTCAGGGGGAACAAGTATGTGGGGGGGAAGAGGGTGTGGGGAAGGATAAAGGAAGGGCTCCATGAGAATCCAGGGCCAGGGGGGTGAGGAGGCCTTTGAGAGCAATCTTTTCTTCTTCTTCTTCTTCTTCTTCTTCTTCTTCTTCTTCTTCTTCTTCTTCTTCTTCTTCTTCTTCTTCTTCTTCTTCTTCTTCTTCTTCTTCTTCTTCTTCTTCTTCTTCTTCTTCTTCTTCTTCTTCTTCTTCTTCTTCTTCTTCTTCTTCTTCTTCTTCTTCTTCTTCTTCTTCTTCTTCTTCTTCTCCTCCTCCTCCTCCTCCTCCTCCTCCTCCTCCTCCTCCTCCTCCTCCTCCTCCTCCTCCTCCTCCTCCTCCTCCTCCTCCTCCTCCTCCTCCTCCTCCTCCTCCTCCTCCTCCTCCTCCTCCTCCTCCTCCTCCTCCTCCTCCTCCTCCTCCTCCTCCTCCTCCTCCTCCTCCTCCTCCTCCTCCTCCTCCTCCTCCTCCTCCTCCTCCTCCTCCTCCTCCTCCTCCTCCTCCTCCTCCTCCTCCTCCTCCTCCTCCTCCTCCTCCTCCTCCTCCTCCTCCTTCTCCTCCTCCTTTTTTTCTTTCTTTCTTTCAAGGCGTATCTTATGTCCTTTCCCCTTTTATTTGTTTGAGCCTTCAGGTGCGCATGCTAGTGGCCCATCAGAACGGCTACCTCTACGTCTTCACGCTGCCGCCGCCCTTCCAGCCAGCCACATCGCGACATGTGGGCCAATCTGATTGGGTGTTTAGCGCCCAGAGCCTCGAAGACGCTCGGCAGATGGCCCTGGAGTCTCGGTGCCGAACCTCCCAAGAAGGTTCGGAGAGCGGCGAGCCTGGGAAGGAGGTGGGGGAAAGAACGAGGCGTGCGGCTGCTGCTGTTGATGCTTCATTTCCTGCTGTTACAGCCACTGCCGCTGCTACAATCGCTGCTCCTGCTACAGCCGCTGCCACGGCTTACGGTGGGGGCAGTGCAGGGCTGGATTTGAGCATGAGTGCTGCAGAGAGGAGTGAAGGCAGAGCAGCATCAGCCACGGCTGCTGCGGTGGCGTCGGCAGCGGCAGCAGCAGCAGTGCCGGCACACTACCCTGCGGGGTCGGTGCCTCTGAATGTGAAGCTCAACCTGCGAGACCTCACCACCGTTGACATGCCGTGAGTGGGGAGGTAGTGAGTAAGCATGGCGTGAGTGGGCAGACAGGCGTGGTTAGGGGAAAGGAGAGGCAGTGAGTGGGGAGAGAGGTATTGAGTAAGCATTGTGTGAGTGGGCGTGGCGTGAGTGGGTATGCCCGTTTCTCAATGGCCCCTTGTCCTTGCCTCATCATTTCCTGGTGGACGCCCGTCCCACATTGCTTAATCCTCCCAAACCCTCCCAACCCCTCCCCCGTTCCCCCAGCACATCAGCGTCGGTAACAATCCGGTCAGCCCCAGCAGGCGGGTTGGTGCGCACGTCTGCTCGCCTCGTCAACGCCATCGGCCCCTTCCCCATGCCACTCAACTTCGCTCTTGTCTCTCCAAACGGGGAGTGGATCGCTGTTGTCGGGGACCTTGCTGCTGTAAGCGCCCCTCCGTCCCCCTCCCTATTCTGAAGCGCCTAGAGGCAAGTGCCATACACGTCCCTTCCCCATGCCGCTCAACTTAGCCGTTGTCTCGCCCGATGGGGAGTGGATCGCCGTCGTTGGGGACCTTGCGGCTGTGAGTGCTTCTCCTTTTTTGGCGCCCCGAAAACCTCTCGAAACTTCTAGAGATTGGCTACAGTCGTCATGCAATGAGTCATTTCGTGAGGCGACTGCAAGAGTCTCTTCAAACTTCTTGATTTTTTTTTCTTGCAAACCTCTTGAGACCTCTCGGAGCCTCCTGTTCTCTGCAGGTGTGTGAGATCCCAATGCTTGTCCCCCATCTCTCTGCCCCTCTTCTGAGGCGCCTCAAAAGTCAAAAGTGTTTTTTTGAGGCGCCTCAAAAGTCAAAGGTGTTTTTTTTAGGCGCCTCAAAAGTGTTCTCTGCAGGTGTGTTAGATCCCAATGCTTGTCTCCCATCTCTCTGCCCCTCTTCTGAGGCGCCTCAAAAGTCAAAAGTGTTTTTTTGAGGCGCCTCAAAAGTCAAAAGTGTTTTTTTGAGGCGCCTCAAAAGTGTTCTCTGCAGGTGTGTGAGATCCCAATGCTTGTCTCCCATCTCTCTGCCCATCCTCCCCCCTTTCTGCAGGTGTGTGTGCTGGACCGAGCATGTGGGTTCAGAGTGAGTGGCATGGCCAGCAGGCGGATTCCAGTGGCCTCTAGGAGCACCAGGGGCGCCGCTCACGGGTGCCAGGTCAGCTTATAACGAGTACAGTCATGCCGCATCTCATTGATGAGTCTGGTTCATGTTCAGGCTCTGTTCGTTTCTTTTGTTTGTTTTCTAACTTTCTAGCCTATTTTGTTACTGCATTCATTCACTCTCTCTCTCTCTCTCTCTCTCTCTCTCTCTCTCTCTCTCTCTCTCTCTCTCTCTCTCTCTCTCTCTCTCTCTCTCTCTCACTCCCTCTCTCCTCCATCCAAACGCCCTCTTCTCACCCCTCTCAGTACCTCGCCTGGAACCCCTCATCCTCGTTACTAGCAGTCTCCAGCGACTCGCTTCAAGCCGTGTACGTGTGGGGCGTGTCCCGTACCTCCCAACCTCGTGCTTCCGGAGCAGCAGAACCGTCACCATCTAAAGCCCGGCCATTCACCAGAGCAGCAGCAGCAGCAGCAGCCGCCGCAGCCGCACAGCAGTTACCATCAGCAACAGCAGCAGCATCAGTACCCACAGCTTCAGAAGCGCCAGCAGCACCGGCAGTACCTACAGCTTCAGCAGCAGCAGCAGCAGCAGCATCAGTGCAGTTGACCCCACTGGTGAAGCTAGAGCAGGCCTTCCTGTCGCCCCCGCTCGCCCTGCAATTTGACTGCTTCAACCCGCACCTCCTGCTGGTTGTAGAGCGGTGCAGTGCGGTGCACGCTGTGGACGTGCGAGCACCCCATGCCAGGCAGCAGATCCAAGTGGTGAGTACCCTCTCTCCGCCTTTTCCGCTCTCTCCTCTCCCTCTCTCTCTCATCGTCCTGTCTCATATTTCTCTCCTCTCTGTCCTCCATCTCTTACAATCGACTCCCTCTCCTTATGTCTCTCGTATGCAGCACCGCCAGCCGTCATCAGAAGCAGAGGAGCAGAGGCAGCAGAGGGAGGACGCAAGGGAGGATGGCCGTTGGGTAGTGGCTCTCGAGGGTCTTCCCCCCACCGCTGTGCCTCATGCTGCTGCTGCCGCTGCTGCTCGTGCTGCCGATGCTGCTGACGCGACCACTGCTGCTGCTCGTGCTGCTAATTCTGCTGATGCTGCTACTGCCGCCGCTGCTCGTGCTGCTGCTGCTGGTGCTGGTGCTGCTCCTGCTGGTGGTGGTCGTGCTGCCGCTGGTGCTGCTTCCGCCGCTGCTGGTGCTGCAGCCGCCCTCGCTGGGGCTGTTTCCGCTGCTGATGGTGCCGCTCGTGCTGCTGATGGTGCTGGCCGTGCTGCTGGTGCTGCTGTGGCTGCTCGTGCGACAGTGGGGGGAGTGGTGGGCGGCATGGTGGACGCAGCACAGGACCAGCTGAGGCGACGTCTGCACCAGTTGGAGCAGCTGTTGCATCGCCGCAACCAGCCGCCCGTCAGCGACGTGGTGGGGCTGGCGGCTTACCACCACCCTGGAGTTCTTGTCTCGACTGAAACCACTGTCTTCCAGGTGAATTCTGATTGCTGCTGGAACGCTGTGAAGTGGTGTGCCTTGATGTGCTGTGAAGTGGTGTGCCTTGATGTGCTGTGAAGTGGTGTGCCTTGATGTGCTGTGAAGTGGTGTGCCTTGATGTGCTGTGAAGTGGTGTGCCTTGATGTGCTGTGAAGTGGTGTGCCTTGATGTGCTGTGAAGTGGTGTGCCTTGATGTGCTGTGAAGTGGTGTGCCTTGATGTGCTGTGAAGTGGTGTGCCTTGATGTGCTGTGAAGTGGTGTGCCTTGATGTGCTGTGAAGTGGTGTGCCTTGATGTGCTGTGAAGTGGTGTGCCTTGATGTGCTGTGAAGTGGTGTGCCTTGATGTGCTGTGAAGTGGTGTGCCTTGATGTGCTGTGAAGTGGTGTGCCTTGATGTGCTGTGAAGTGGTGTGCCTTGATGTGCTGTGAAGTGGTGTGCCTTGATGTGCTGTGAAGTGGTGTGAATGCAACCAGCCATCTGTCCGCGACGTGGTGGGGCTCGCAGGCTTACCATCATCCGGGAGTGCTCGTGTCGACAGAAACCACTGTCTTCCAGGTGAGCATGACTGTTGCTGGGATGCCTTGAGTGAGCATGTTTCGATGCACTGGAGAGTGCAACCTGCTGCCTGTCAGCAAGGTGGTGGGGCTCGCGGCTTACCACCACCCCGTTGCTCGTGTCGACAGAAACCACTGTCTTCCAGGTGCGCTGATTCTTGAGGCGCCTCCCCTTTGATGGGAATCAGCTCAAAAGTCGACCGCTGTTGCCCAGGTTAGCTGGCTTTGGAGGCGCCTCAAAGTCGACCACTGGTGCCCAGGTGAGCTGACGCCAGGAAAGGGGAGGTGCCTTCTGAATGAGGGATCCGTCTCTCCTTCATAAGGTTCCTTCACCACCTTGTGTGAAAATCCGTCTCTATATCTTTGCACACAACCCCCCCATCCCCCCCCCCCCCCCCACACGCCATGGAACCCCTTTGCTACAGTATCCTCGCATGGGAGCCTGGTCACCTGCCTCTCACCGCCTCTATCCCAAACGCTTCAAGGTGAGTGCGGTTCCGTGCTATGAGACGTCCCAGCGTTGCTGCTGTCAGGAGTGAAGTTACAAAGTTTGAAGGCTATGTATGCCCGTCAGGAGTGCACATTCAGCGTGATACGGTCCCCATTCGTCTGTTCTTTAGTCCAATTCGTTAGTCCACGCTTTCCCCGTCGTCCATCGAAACATCTTACTGTATTTACCCTGGCGCACACCTCTGCACCCATCCGCACTCCTCATCAACCAATCTGGACTGCAGGAGGTGGTACGGCTGCTGTTGCTGGGGCACTACTCTACTGAGCAGTGGGATTACACTGCGACCGACAGCCACAGCAGCCAGGCACAGTCTGACAGCAGGTGAGCGTGTGTTGGTTGTTGGGGCACAGGAGGTGATCCAGCTGTTGCTGATGGGTCATTACGGTACCGGGCAGTACGATTACGGTGCTGCTGCTGACAGCCATAGCAGCCACAGCAACCAGGCAGAGTCAGACAGCAGGTGAGGGTGCTTCTTTTCCCAGGTCCGTGGCATTGCCAGGTCTTTCAGCTATGTGTATCATTATTCATGCTTCAGCAACTGTTCATACTGCATTGATTGCAAGTATACATTCTGCTGTGATTCAGATATGCTAGTTTTTGTGTGTTCCTTATTTCTCTATTTTCTGTTGTATATGGCCCTGGTTCAGGTACCTGTGGTTGCTTCCCCTCGAAGTGTTGCTTCAGATCGTTGGACATGCATCTACACCACTTTCTGTGTGGATTAGTGATGCATAGACCATATTACTAAACGGATTTTTTGTGAATGGGTTACCAACGCTACACTATCTCAGGTACAGTATGTACAGTAGGTGCTACAAGATCTATGTACAAGTTGCGTTGAATAAAGCATACCCTTTATGACGAGCCCATTACACAAGAACCTAGCAAGCATGCCAGGAAACCACTTCCATGTGAGATGAAATGACAAAGCTAGAGATTCCATCACCCACATACGGTACTCAGATGCAGGGCCCGTGCTAGGTTTTGGGGCACCCTGAGTCCTCAGGGCACTTTTCTAGAATCCAAAAAAATGCCCTGATTTCTCAGGGCAAATCTTCTGAGCCTTCCTGATTGGTCAGGGCTTTTGCAGAAAATAATCCTGACGTGTCAGGGCAAAATTAGTAGCGTTCAGGGTTCTGATTTTAGCACAAACAGACCAGACCAGACTCTGTTCTGTTTAGCATAGCAGAGCAGCCGCAGCGCTGCAGCGCACATACAGTTGGTGTTTTACTAGGCAATTAACTCCTGCACCACCTCTCCTAGCCCTCCTCCTCATCATCATCATCTTCGCTGCTGCTACTAAACCCACTGTTGCTGCTGCTGCCACTGCCATGTTCAGTATCTGCTTCTTGTCCGTCCTCCCCCCCGTTCCCCTTCCCCGCCTTCCTCTGCTGCTCCCTTCTCTTAGTAGGCCTCCTCTTCTTGCTGCTGCGCCACAAATCCACCACTTTACCCCATTCCATGTCATACTCAGTTAGGCTCAGGCACATCAAGTCACTGAGCCTGGCATCACAGAGGCTGGTCCTCTGCCAGGACTTAATCACGTTCTGGCGGCTAAAGCCGCGCTCACACTCGACGATGCTGAGCGGCAGGACAGCCACCGCCGTCCAGAGGCGGACGAGGTTGGGGTAGCTCCGCTCCCAGTCCTTCGTTCTCAGCATGGCCGCCAGTCCGCGTTGAAATGTGCGCTCGCCTTTGGGAGCGCCAGCCAGAACAGGGACAAATGTCCTCAGTTCCTTCTTGGCAGCTCGCTTGTCCACTCCTGCCATGCCAAGCATAACACAACACACATAACAGTGACAGAGCAGGGGCAGAACAAGTCAGAGAGGTGGAAATGTACATAGCAGGGAGAGAACTTGGCAGATTGTGGGAGACTGTGGGGTAGGAGAACAGTAGTGCAGATCGGGCAGGAGCAGTACAACAGGTAGGAGAAGAACACAAATGCTTACCTGGGAGAATGTCTGATCGCTCGCGGGCATGGAACAGGGCGACGAGGGTCTCCAAGTGCTCGCGGCACTCAACAGCGCGTGCCTCCTTGTCTTCGGGGTACGTGTCTGGCACCAGGTGGTACAACGCTGGGGCCGTTCGTATTAGCACGGTCGGCTGTGACTGCGGGAGTTCGAGATGATATAGCTGCAGGTGAGGGTGTTGGTAATGTGGACACAGTCCGAACAGGACGCAGGAAGTCCAATCCGGTTAGACCTCGTGATACTGGCGTCGCGCCATCGTGCTCGTTAGCCATCACTAGTCCTACTGAGCCAGGCTAGCTTCACTTCTGCTACTCTAGTGGCAACGCTGGTAGGGTGTTGGTTGGATGGATCATGGAGGAGTGCTCAACGAGGTCGAGAGAGAGACACTCGAGGAGTTGCCTTGTTGCCCAACCTGTTTCCAGTCTGATGGGTTAGGGCTTGGCTAGTGCCTTGCGGGGGGATCGGAACTGAACGCTCAAAGACATCATGCGAAGGCGGGAAACATACACGGGGAGAAAATTCAATGGAGAAAAAACTCCCCGTACCGCGCCAGCCCCCCCACCCCACCCCCCCCCCCCAAAAAAAAAAACGCGTCAGGGTAGGCCTCGGTATTCATCCTGACGTTACAGGGGGAAACACTACGGCCATCCTGAATGTACAGGGCACTTCATATAAAGACATCCTGTGATCTCAGGGTGAAAATTGTCATTATTCTGAAATAGCAGGGTAAATACAAAACTGCATCCTGAATTCAGGGTAATCAGGATGTTTTGCCCTGATAACGTGGGCCCTGCTCAGATGTACTGTAAGTGGCAAAAGGCAAAGCCTTAGCCCACCAGAAAATCATAAACCTCAGCTATAGCCCCTCCTGCCACTACCAGCCATCTCCAGTTGCTGTCTGCAACCACACACTCGCTACTGCCCCTGTCCCGGTTATTATTACTATCACCCTTACAGTCATCACCACCACTGCTGCCAGCGTTGTCACCATTTTCATCACTAGCAGCAGTGGCAGAAGAGGCAGTGGTTGAGAGAGGATACATGACAGGAGGGTGAGGCAGATACACCAGGTCTTGCTGGAACTGCTGTGGGGGGTGAATGGTAGTTATGGGACCTTGGCACCAGGCTCGTCGTTGCGCTACTTGGTTGGAGGGCGACGGAGCTGTAACCGTCTCAGATGAAACCGCGTGACATGAAACTGCATCAGATGTAACTCCATGAGATGTAACGCTGTGGGGTGTAACGATGTTGTGGGCGCATTGAGAGGCAGTCCAGAGGGCGATGGCCCCATCGGCTCTCAGCACCACAGCCGTGGCAGAGGAGGGGGCGATGCAGGGCTGCTGAGAGTCAAAATGAAGCACCTCGGTGAATGGAGGATGGTTCTGGAGGAGCAAGGGGTGGGAGGGAGGCAGGGAACGATTTGGGAGTGCAGGCAAGAGAGCAGTGGCAAAGGAGGGGGTGACGCAGGGCTGCGGAGGAATCTTGTGTGGCACCTCAGTGAACGAGGAAGGGCCCTGGAGGAATTGTTGGGGGAAGGGAGAAGACTGTAGGAGTGCAAGCAAGCAGGAAAGCACACAACAATGGAGGTATGAAAGTGATATGCAATGGAGAGCGGGAATGATGTAGGCATGAAATGTTGAAAAGTTCTGCAAGGGACGCACCTGGGGAAGGAGGGCGCGCCTGGGGGAGGAGGGCGCGCCTGGGGGAGGAGGGCGCGCCTGGGGGAGGAGGGCGCACCTGGGGGAGGAGGGCGCACCTGGGGGAGGAGGGCGCACCTGGGGGAGGAGGGCGGCTTGATTAGAAGCATCCACGTCCCACACCCGCGCAAAGATGCCCTCGGGGATGTCATGGTGAGTGTCGGTCACAGTCTGGGGAGATGAGGAGGGACGGTGACAGTGGAAACGATGATGACAGTGAACATAAGAGTGACAAGGTGAGAGTCGTGAGGGAAAGGTCTAGTGCAGTTTGGTGGAGTGGAGTGGAGTGGGGTGGAGTGGAGTGGAGTGAAGTGGAGTGGAGTGGAGTGGAGTGGAGTGGAGTGGAGTGGAGTGGAGTGGAGTGGAGTGGAGGGGAGTCTTAACAAGTACGGAGCAGCCTCAAGCGCCATAGAATAGCATAGGATAGTAGCTAGCCACCACATGGCGTGATGCTTGTTTGATAGCGCTACTTGAAGAGAGGTTAATGTGTCTAAGACGTCTACAGTAAGTTCTACTTCAAGTTCAGTAGTTGTTCATTTTCTGGTGGAGTCATGAACCGAACACAACCTAGTTGTAGGTGAAGTTTCAACCCACCCTGCGCTATGTCTTGTATCTCTACAGTTTCAGTTCAACTTTTATCTCACCACCGAACTTCCATGTCTCGTAGAGCATAGGATTTCTGAGAATTCTCAGAAAACAGTACCTTGTAGTACAAAGGCATGGAAAGACATGAGCAGTAGACATGAACAGTACAGATGAACAGTGGATAAGAACAGGAGGCATGGACAGGAGACATGAACAGCAGATGCATACAGTGAGGCAGAAAATCCGTTCGTTGAGGGAGAATTGCTGCATCTCCTCCCACAGATCGATTCTCAACGAAATCGACGGCTGTCCGATGCTCTCTCCTCCTCCCTTCATTCCTACTCCACTTCCTCCTCCTCCCTCCCTTGCTCCTCTCCTCCTTCCGCCTCCACCTTCCCCTCTTCCCGCCACTCCTCTGTCCAAGTCATAAACAACGATCAGCCCCTGAGTCGTGCCAATCAGCAGCCGCCAGCCATGCCGTTCTGAGTGGCTGAAGGCGACATCTGAGACAGGATCCTCAAGTAGACAGCGATGATAAATGTCCACAAGAGTGTGACCGGAGAGAATGTGCTGCAAACGAATGATGCATGGGCAGCGGCACACTCTCTTGCCTGACGCCTCAAGATCCTCAGCAGATTCAAAATCTTCAGCAGCCTGTGAACCCTCAGCAGCCTGTGAACCCTCAGCAGCCTGTGAACCCTCAGCAGCCTGTGAACCCTCAGCAGCCTGTGAACCCTCAGCAGCCTGTGAACCCTCAGCAGCTCGAGCAGTGTTGTTCAGTATTCCCTGACGCTGCTCCTCCATGCGCCTCATCTCTGCTGCCCACACAGGTATCGTCCCAATGATCGTTGGAGTGTCCAGATTCGCAAAGGGTGACTCTGTGGGTTCCTCACTGCCAATGCCACGCTCAGCAGGGGCGTGAGTGTGAGGCACTACAGCAGCAACCACGCCCGTCCATGGATCGAAGGCCAAAGCACGATCGTACACACACTGCATACTAGCCCATGCTGTGCTGTGCTGTGATGTCCCTGTTGACTGCTGTTGACCGTGCGTTGACTGCTGTTGACTGTGCGTTGACTGGCAAGCTTGAGAGCCCAAGTCCCAAAGCCGCATGGTGCGGTCACCGTCGCTCATGCCACTGCGCTCCTCCACCAGCAGATACCCAGGCGGCCCGTATGCCATGCCTCCCTTACACGGGCGAGCCTCCGTCGAGCTTTGAGTCGACTCATTACACGCAGGCCGCCCGTATGCCATGCCTCCCTTACAAGGGCGAGCCTCCGTGACGTCTCTCCTGATGAATGCGCAAGGGCTTGCCATCACTCCCTTGGACCGGCGGGCGTGAGTTGTTGCTTCTCTGCCCCTCAGCCTCCCACCCTCCCACCACTCCCGTGGCCCTCTCTTGCCCTTCCTAGGCCGCCATCCCACCTGCTCTTCCTCTCCCTCCTCGCCCTCCTCCCCCTCACTTCTCCCCACACCCCCCTCGCCCCCTCGCACTCTCTCAAGGTCCTCCCACAGCTGCTGCTCTCCCATCCTTCCCTCCACGAACCAGATCGAGCAGCAGGGGGACAGGGAGGGCACGACAACAACACATGTGCCTCCGAATTCATGGGGCTCTGCTGCGCTTCTTTCCAGCCGTGCCTTAGCTTCCCCTCCCTCTGCCTCTCGTGACCTTGCTTGTATAGCGCATGACATTGCTACTGATGCTTTCCCTGCCTCTCTAGCTTTTGAGCTTGCTTGTAACCTACTCGCTTGGGGCGATGCCCCACCCCTTGTGGGCCAGCGGGGCAGGCTCCACACGCACACCGACCCGTACTCTGCCGCACTCGCCACTAGCCTCCACCCATCCTCGTTACAAGCACACCGGCCGCCCTCGTTACAAGCACACCCAGTAGTAGCACGAGAACCTGAATTCGGTCCCTCTGGGGCGTCCCCGAGGCTTTGGGAGAGAGTGAGGCAGGTGAGGGGGAGGGGGATGGGGAGGGGGTGGTGGAGGGAGGCGAGGAGGGAGTGGGAGGGGAGGTGCCACACCTGCAGGTGGCCGTGAGAGGTGCCCAGGAGGAGAAGCGTGTCGTCCACTTTTATCACTGAGACCGTGACAGCTGCTGCTGATTCTGATGCTGCTGCTGCTATTGGTGGTGGTGGTGGTGCTGCTGCTCTTGCCGCTGGTGCTGCCACTGATGTTGCCGCAGCTTCTGGCATGACAATTGCTGCTGCTGAAGCTCTCCGGTTTTCGGCCTTCCTCCCTGCCTTCCCATTCCCCCCCCATCCCCACACCTCGCCTCTCCCTCCATGAATCCCCCTAATGTCACACTTCCCCACTCTCCAATTCCTCCCCGCCTCCACTCTCTCTCTATACCTCCTCTTCCACACACCACTCTCCCTCACTCCCCTTCCCCACCCCCCTCCAACTCCGCCCTCCCCTCCTCGCCCCCCTTCCCCTTCCACCTCTCTCTCCCCCCGCGGTTGTTCCGCCCTGCTCCAGAAGGCAGCCCTTTCCCCAAACGACCGCTCAAACACCTTCCGCCAGAACGCCTCTCCCCCTGCGCCCCCTCCATCCCGCTCCTCCGCCACCACCGCATCCCGCCAGTCTCTGCGGAAGGCGGAATTGGCGGAACGGGGGGAAGACAGAGAAGAGGCGCAAGCGGGAGTCAGGGACAAGTGGGCGATTTGCGCAAGGGGGCCTAGGAGAGGGAGCAAGTGGGGGGAAGGCAGGGACGATAGGGGGAAGCGGAGGGTAGAGGGGAAAAACTGCGCCTACGGGGAACATGTGGGGGAAAATCGGCCCGGGGAAACGCACCTGCACGTGAGCATGGCGCAGATTATTCCGCCAGGCCCTTCAGCTGGAAGGCGTTGGAATATGTCCAGAAGAATGGTTCGCGGAAGTTTCGTAGCCTGATAAGACGAGGCGGGGTCACGCATCGCCTCGTCTGGAGGGCCTTCAGCGTCCGCCATTTCCGCGCGGCGCGCGGGTCAAATTTGCTATCAAGAAAACAATTCAGGTATGTTGGGTCTGAATGTGGGTGAACAATTTGGAAAATGATGAATTTTCATTTTCTACCAGACGTACACCGCAAAACGATACTGTATCGTACGTGAAAGGATCCCTACTGAATGCATTGTTTCAGCCAGCGGATCTGACAACTGAAGGCGCGAAAGTTACCGTCAGCGCAGGACTGGTCAGTGGATTTCGCGACATTGTCGCCATTCGTTACGGCCACCACAAGTTCCTTGCGGACTCGTTTCGCGAGCTACAAAATCTATCGTCCAGCTTTTGATTGCCTGGGCTGACGCAACGGACGTAACCAGGCGAGATCCGCCATTTCGTCTCTCCACAGCAAAAAACAATCTCGAGGTGCCTCAGGAGAGAACACCAATGCTACCAGCTCCGTTGCCTGAAGCGTAGCAGGGATCCAGGTGCTCTCTCTCAATGGGTTGTGCTGTCCTACGGGTGAAAGCACCAGATCAGTATCAGCCTAGTTGCCACTGATGGCATGCTACGCTACGTGTGAGGAAACGAGCGGCTTATTTAGTACTTGAATTCGTCTAACCTGATTGGATAGTGCACTTCGCTGTGCATATAATTCGTCCCTGTCAATCAAATTCACCGATTTTTATGGTGCAATGGTGTGACATGGTGGTCGGCTAAGGATGGATCGGAGGGAGCTCATGACCGCCGGGAAGAAGCGGGTAATGAGACTTTCGGAATCACAATGCTTTAAAGCTCGTTATTACATCAATTCCCATTGCCTCCGTTTCGCCGTATCTAAATGCTTCCTGAAACCTTACGGAATGGAATTTTTGCTCGTGTATTCACATCGAGCCGTGCTTGCCATTGTTATTGTACGACCAGCTTGAGGAGTATCGGAAGAAGCAACAAGCGAAATCTGGAGGAAGCTCTAAAGGAGGACAGCAAGACAAGGTGCTCACGATGGTCTCCACATCCTTCTTTCCTATCTATTTCCAGACGATTTGAACAGTTTATCGCGTCTAAATTATTCTTCTTCTGGTTGATCGTTTGACATCCTCGTCCATGTTTTTGTCGACCTTGTTTGCCTTACCACAAAGCTCGCTTTCCAAAAATTTCATTCAATTTTTGTACGTTCTTGCTGCTCGAAAAACGTCAGTCTCCCCTCTTGAAAAGCTAGCTTGAACGGCGTCCTCCTTGCTCCTCTCTACCGCCGTCCATCTCACAGGTCAAGATGCCATCAACGGCTCCCACGACTCCGCAGGGCTCGTCCAATCAGAGCGCGGCACGGCAATCCCAAGGCCCGGCTTCAAGCAGCACAAGCGACCTCCCCCAGCTGGGCCTGAGCGTGCAGATCCAACCCCGAGGATCCACCACCGCCCAATCAAGAAAACCCATGCCAATCCAATCCCGGGATTCGCTCCAAAGCCAGCCTAGAGAATCCACAGGCGAGTCTGCAACCTCCATGGTGTCGGCAGCATCCGCAGTGACGGCAGAGTCGGCAGATTCAGCAGGAACGGCCGTGGGGAGGACGATCAGCAGCAGCAGCGGCGGCGGGGACGGCGATTTCATGACGCCCACAGGCGGCAACACGCCGTCCAGCGCCACCAGCTACGGCTCCGACTCCTCCTCGGGGGGCTTTGTGCTGCGTCCGTTCGCTGCTGGGCCTCGGGAGTTCCGCACCATCGCCCAGGGCATCCTGAATAAGGTGAGAAGTTTGTTGTGGGGATGGGTTGGGTTTAAGTTTTTACCGGCAGGGGATGATAAGGTGATGCAGCCAGGTAAAGTCTAGGACGGCATTAGATAACCCAAGGATCGAGGATGGAGGGGGGATGGTGGTAGAAAAGAGAAGAGGAGGGAAGGGAGAAGTTGAGGGGGGGGAAAGACGGGGGTTGCGCTTTGGAAGACAGAAGGGCCAGCCAGGCAGCCGCTTTTGAAAGACCTGCCTGACAACTGACACGCCTCTGCCACCCACCCTGCCAATGCTTCACTCCAACTCGCATGGCAGGGCTTGGGCGTTGAAGGGCAGGGAGCACGAGGGGAGGAAGCGCAAAGAGAGCAGAGAGCAGAGGGAGAGGGAGCAGGCAGGCAGGGCGCTTCAGGGCCAGGAGCGCAAGGGCAGGGAGGAGCAGAGGGGATGCGGAGACCATCCACTGCACAGCCGCATGAGACGCACGAGACTCTCAAGAGAGAGCAGGATGCATCTTCCCCCAGCCACTCCACTCGGTCAACAACCGCCCCTCTTTCCCGAAGCCCCTCCACCTCCTCGCTCACCTCCTCCGTCCCTTGGTCGTCCAGCGGGGCTCTGGACGGCGCGTTTGCTGCTGGAGTGAGACGGTTTTCCCTGGAGACGGGGAGTGATGATGGGTCGCTGACAGAGCGAGGGTCGGTGGTAACCACCACGCGGGAGAAGTATGTGGAGCGGCTGGAGCTGAAGGTGGTTGAGCTGAAGCGACGGCTGTCCGTTGTGATGGAGGAGAGGGAGAGAGGCGGCCCTAGTTTTGCTGGTGCTGGCTCGGGCGCTGCTGGTTTAGGTGGTGGTGGTGCTGCTGGGTTGAGTGGGATGTGGAGGAGTACCAGTGGAGGGGAGGTTCTGTTGAGGGAAGAACTCAGGAAGAAGGCCAGTAGAGTGCATGCTCTGGAAAAGGAGCTGGCGATGCTCAAGAGCCTAGTTGGGCTGGATCCGGGGGAGGCTGTATCTAAGGCTGCGGCGTATGGTGCTGCTGGTGGCGCGGGTGGGGATATGGGTAGAAAATCTAGAAGCGCTGATGCCAGATTTGTTGATTTGATAGAGCGGCACGGAGCAGAGGTTGCTGAACTAAAAGAGTTACTTAAAGAAAAGGAGGAGCGGCTGGTGTTTCTGGAAAGGGATAGGGAGGAGGTGATGGAGCGAGTAGCCGCACAGGTGCAGGCAGAGAAACGTGCGGAGACAGAACGGCTGGCGAAAATGCAGGCGGAAATGGAAGTAGCTGCGGAGCAGCTGAAACGGCAGGTGGCATCTGCCATGGCTCGATGGAAAGGGTTAGAGGAGGAGAAGGGGCGGTTGGCGGACCAGTTGCTTGAAAAGGAGGTGGTTATAGAGGGGGAGAGGGAGCGGAATGTGAGGGTTGCGGAGGAGTTGGCAGTGGTTCGGGGGCAGTATGAGACGATGATGGAGACAGTAGCAGCTCTGCAGGAGGAGAGGGGGAAGCAAGCCAGGGAGACGCAGGGTTTGAGAGAAGAAACACAGAGACTAAGGGAGGAGTGTGAGAAATTTAGGGAGGAGAGTGAGAGGATGAGGGAGGAGAGGGTTGGGCTTGAGAAGGAGCTGGAGAGGTTAAGGGAGCAGGTGCAAAGGCGGCGGAAGAGTGACATTGCAGCGGCCCTGGAAACTGGGTGCAGGGCTGAGGGTTCTGAGGGTGTTGAGAGAAGGGTGAGTGTGGGAGGGGCGTCAGGGGAAGGTTGGGTTTGTACGAAGTACGCTAGTTAAGAACAGGTTGATTGGCTGCCTCTTGGTGACTCGAGTCAATTCCGTGCCCTCCTCCCTGGCTGTGTTGCCCTCCTCCCTGGCTGTGTTGCCCTCCTCCCTGGCTGTGTTGCCCCTCGCCCCCCTTGCCTTACCATGTCACGGTCACCAAGTGATGTGATGTTTTTTTTTTTTTTTTTGAGATTAGCGAAAGGAATTTCAGTCTAAGCTGTTTCATCTCGTTTGCTCCCACTGTCTGCGTCCTTTCCTCCGTTCCCTGTACTCTACCCACCAGGTGAACCTAAGTGGTGAGCAGCGGGAGCTACTAGAGGAGGAGCTGGTGCAGCTGCAGGAGCTACTAGCCCGGCCCAGAGAGAAGGAAGAGAGTCAACTGACCAAGGTGCAAATAAAAAAAACAGCTTCCCCTTCCTGCTTACACTTTTGTTTCCTTGCTCTGTACCCAACAGGTGAACCTAAGTGGGGAGCAGCGGGAGCTGCTAGAGGAGGAGCTGGTGCAGCTGCAGGAGCTGCTCGCCCAGCCCTGAGACGAGGAGAGACAGAGGACCAAGGTGCAAGGAGAACAAACAGCATTCCCCTTCCTGCGTACCCTTCCTTTTTGTTGCTCTCTACTCAACAGGTGAACCTAAGTGGGGAGCTGCGGGAGCTGCTGGAGGAGGAGCTCGTGCAGCTGCAGGAGCTGCTAGCTCGGTCGCGAGACGAGGAGGAGAGGCTCCGAGCCAAGCTGCAGGGCGACGAGCAGCAGTGGCAGCAGCAGCTGCGGGAATCCGCAGCCGCTTTAGCAGCCAAGGAGGAGGAATCCAGGGTTCTGCTAGCTCGGGTGGAGGAGGGGGAGAGGGAGAGAGAGAGGCTCCGGGCAGAGGCGGATGCGGCGAGGCTTGAGGCTGCGAGTGCAGGTGAGAAGCTAGCTGCGACCAAGGATAAGCTGGGAGTGGCGATTAGGAAGGGGAAGGAGGTGGTGCAGCAGCGGGAGGCGCTGAAAGGGACTCTGGCGGAGGAGACTGCTGTGCTGGAACGGTTAAGGGAGGAGCTGGAGCGAGAGAGAGAGGGGAGGAGGGACGCGTTGAAGGCTGTGGAGGTGAAGGAAGGGGAAGTGGCGGAGGGGAGACGGAGGGTGGGTGAACTGGAGGGTGAATTGGAGGAAGGGAGGAAGAGGGTGGAGGAGTTGGAGGCAGCAGTTGCTGCAGCTGAGGGGAAGGCGGCAGGGATGGCGGAGGAAGGCGGGGAGAGGGTTAGGGAGATGGAGGAGAGGGTGAGGGAGGCGGAAGAGAGGGTGCGGGTGGCGGAAGAGGAGGTAGCTGAGGTGAAAAGGCAAGCGGCGGAAGGGAGGGAGCGTGCTGTGGAGCTTCTAGGGCAGGTGGCGGAGAGAGATGCGCTCCTGGCGAGGAGAGGAGAGGAGTTGAGGGAGGTGGAGGGGCGCGAGAGGGAACTGGAGAGAAGGGTTGCGGAGGAGATGGAGAGGAGGATTGAGGAGGGGAGGGAGGAGGGGAGGAGGGAAGTGGAGAGGGAGGTGGGGGTGTGGGAGGGTAGGGTAGAGGAGGAGAGGAGTAAGGCGGAAGATGCTCTGAAAAAGGCGGAGTGTTTGTCTAAGGAGGTGGATCAGTTACAGGAGAGGGTTGCAGAGACAGAGGGGCAGTTGGTTGCTTTGCAGACAGAACTTGCTGCAGCGAAGGGGGAGGTAGAGGAGAAGGAGGGATCGGTGTCAGGGTTAGAGGTGAGCCTGAGTGGGGAGAGGGAGAGAGTGAGACAGCTGGAGGAAATGGTGGGGACGCTGAGAGGGGAGGTTCAGGAGGCGCAGAAGGCAGGTGGTTCAGAAGCAGACGCGAGAGAAAGGGCGAGAGAGAGGGAGAGTGTGCTGACTCGAGAGTTGGAGTCGTTGCAAGCACAGAAAGAGGCGCTGGTGGGTGCTGTGGAGGATGAGAGGGCGATGAGGGAAGAGGCGGAAGAGGCTAAGAGGAGGGTGGAAGGAGAGAAGGGAGAGGTGGTGGAGAAGCAGGGGGAGCTGGAAGCAAGAGTGGAAGATTTACAGGGGAAGCTGGATGAGATGAATTTACAGGCTAAGGGCTGGGAGGAGCAAGTGGAGGGGCTTAAAGCTGAAGTCGTGGGTTGGCAGGCGAGGTTTGCTGGTCGGGAGCAGGAGTTTGCAGGTTTGACTGCCGAAGCTGAGGCACGGTTGGAAGAGGTTCGGCAGGAGCTGGAGGGGATGCGAGGGAGGGAGAAGGAGTGGGAAGGGAGGGTTGGGGAGGTGGAGGAGAGAGTGAGGGAGGGTGAGAGAGCGTTGCAGGAGAGTGAGAGGCTGTTGCAGGAGGTGAGGGAGAAGGGGGAGGGGCTTCAGAAGGAGCTCAGTGAGATGGAAGAGAGAGCAAAGGAGGCTGAGGAACGGAAAAAGGAGGCTGAAGCAAGAGTTGAGGAGGCTGAGAGAAGGAGGAAAGAGGAAGAAGCTAGATCGAGTGAGCTGTTGCTGCAAGTGGAGGAAGCCAGGAGGAGAGAGAGTGAGGTGAGCGAGGGGAGGGGTGGTGAGAGTGAGGTTGAGGCATGGAGGGCTGAGTGGAAGGCTGAAGAGGCGTTGCTGCTGAAGAAGCAGGCTGAGATAGAGGGGCTTTTGGTTGCTAAGGGGCGAGAATTTCTGGAGCTGAAGGGAGAGTGGGAGAGGGAGAGGGATGCTTGGGCAACCGAGAGAGGTGAGTGGGAGAGAAAGGCGAAGGGATGGGCGATGGAGAAAGAAGATTTGCTTGGGAGGCTGCAGGGGGAAAGAGAAAAGTGGGAGGAGGAGCAGGGTAGGGTGGAGGAGAGTGAGGGGCAGTTACAGGAACAGGTGGAGGCGGAGAGGAGGAAAGTGGCCGGGTTGAGAGAGGAGAGAGAGCAGCTTCGGAAGAGGTTGGAGGGATTGGAGGAGGAAGTGGAGCAGGTGCAGGAAGAGGTGGCAGCGGAGAGGCGGAAGGTGGAGGAGTTGAGAGGGAGTTTGGAGGAGGAGGAGAGGCGGTGTGGGGAGATGGTGAGTGAGTTGCAGGCTGTGGCGGAGGGGAGGGAGGAGGAGAGGAAGCAAGTGGCGGGGCTGACAGAGGAGAAGGAGCAGCTGCAAAGGAGGGTGGAGGGTTTAGAGGAGGAAGTGAAGCAGGTGCAGGGCAAGATGGATGAGGTGGAGGAGGAGAAGGGGCAGCTACAGAGTAAGGTGCAGGGGCTGGAGGGGGAGGTGGAGCAGCTGCAGCAGAAGGTGCAGGCAGCAGAGCGGAAGGACGTGGTCACTCTCGTGAGTCCTCTGCACGCTGGATGCTCTTAGCCTTTTGTGTGGCAGTTTCCTTATTTTGCTGCTCATCTGCTCATCCACTGTAGAACCATCTCTACTGTTCCTCTGTTCTGTGTAACCCCGTTGCATTTTCTCACCTTTCGGTTGTTTCGGCACTCCATGTCCCCATTCGTTCAAAGCTGTTGACGATTGTCCCTTGCACTCTTTCGTCTCCCTTCCCCCCAGGCAAAGGTAGTTGCCAGCGAGACAGCCGCAGAGGAAGCAACCAGGCAGCTTCAATCAGCCCAAGCCGCCCTCGAGGCAAAGCAAGTTGAACTGGCCGCCCTGCAACAGCAAGCAGAGGAGCTGGAAGAAACCCTAGAGCAGCGCGAGACAGAGCTTGAATCCCTAAAATCAGACATCTCGGCGCGAGAGATGATCTGGCGTGCGTCGCAAGATGCAGAGGCGAAGGCAGCAGAGGATGCTATTGCGGTGGAGGCAGCTGCTGCAAGGGAGATGGCGGAGAGAGAGAGGGATAAGGTGAAGGAGGAAGCTGAGGCGGAAGCAGCGGCTTTGAGGAAGGTTCTGGGAATGCGGGAGTCGCAGCTGGAGAAGCTGCAGGCTCGGGTGGCCGAGGCTGAGGAGGTGGTTCGGGAGCTGGAGGAGGCTCGGGTGGAGCTCGAGAAAGCTCAGGGGGAGGTGGTTAGGGTTAGGGAGGAGATGGGGGGAGAGATGGAGAGAGTGAGGGAGAACAGTGTGAGAACAGAGGAGGAGGTGGAGAAGCTTAGGGCTGCTTTGGAGGGGTATAGAGAGGAGGTGGAGGAGGGAGAGAAAAAGGTGAGTGAGTGTGAGAAGAGGCTAGAAGAGAGTGAGAAAGAGAGGAGGGCCGCTCTGGAGAAAATGGATTCGTTGCTTGGAGAGCTGATGGAGAAGAGTGAGGAGAATGAGAGGGTGAGAGAGGAGGGCGCTAGGCTGAAAGAGGAGGCCTGCCGGTTGAGGGAGCAGGCTAGTAGGCTGGAAGAGGAGCTGAAAGGGCGTGACGAGGAGATTAGTAGGCTGAAACAGGAGGTTTTAAAGGTAAGTGCAAGTGCAGGAGCTGATGGGGAGAGGGAGCGGATGGAGGAGGAGGTAGTGCGACTTACTAGGGACGTAGAGCAGAAGGGAGCATTGCTGAAGGTCGCTGAAGACGCAAGGGCAGCAGCTGAGGCGAAGAACGCGAGCCTGGTGAAGAAGGCGAAGGAGAGGATCGAAGGCATGAAGCAGAAGGCTGCAGTTGAGGCCCAGGCTGCTGCAGACGCGAGAGCCGAGGTTGATCGACTGAAGCGGCTTCTGGAGGGGGGAGAGGGCAGAGGGCGAGGAGGGGGGGAAGAGGGAGGAGAGGGTGGGGCAGGGGAGATAAGAGCAGAGGCGAAGGCAACGAATGTTGAGGACGCGGCCGAGATAGAGGGGCTTCGTGCCAAGGTCTCTCTCCTTGAAACGGAGCTGTCTCAGTTGAAGCAAGGGGAGCGGAGCGGGGCAGGAGCAGGGGGAGAAGGAGCAGCAGGGGCGGCAGCAGGGGCAGCAGCAGAGGCAGCAGCAGAGGGGGAGCGGGTGAGGGAGTCACTGAAGCAGGCACAGGAGCAGGTGGCGGGGGTGAGGGAGAAGCTAAGCAAGGCTGTGCGCAAGGGCAAGGCAATCGAGCAGCAGAAGCTGAAGCTCGAAGCAGACCTCGCTGCTGCCAGGGCTGAGATTGACGCTCTCAGGACGAGCACTGGGGCAGGCGCAGGGACAGGGGTAGGAACAGGGCTAGGGGCAGCTGTAGCAGCAGCCGCAGGGGCAGGCGGAGGTGTAGCAGCAGGGGAGCAGGTAGACGAGCTGAGAGGATTGTTGGCTGAGGCAGAAGAGGCGAGGAGGAAAGAGGTAGAGGCGAGGCAGAGAGAGGAGGAGGCGAAGAGGAAAGAGGAGGAGGCGAGAAGGAAGGCTGAGGAGAGGCTGAAAGAGACAGTGGCTATGATGGAAGGAGTGACAGATGCTCTTGCGGGGCGAGAGAAGGAGTGTGAGGAGCTAAGTAACGAACTTACTGAGCTAAGAAAGTCTCTTAGCAGCGCTCAGGAGGAGGTTGCTAGGCTGATGGGGGAAGTGGATAGGTTGGAGGAGGAGGGTGGGAGGGAGAGGGCGGATGCAGAGGAGAGATTGGAGAAGCTGAAGAGGGAGAGTGAAGAGATGGAGGGGTTTACGAATGGGAAAATAGCGGAGGTGGAAGAGATGTTGGCTATAGTTGAAACGGATCTTGCTGTAGCGAGGCGGAGAGTTGAGGAGCTGGAGAGGGAGAAAGCGGAGGTGGAGAAGGGGAGGGAGGAGAGGGAGAGGCGAGTGAGGGAGTTGGAAGAGGAAGTGGGGAAGTCGGGAGAGGAGGGGAGGGGATTGGGGTTGGAGCTAGAGAGAGTGAGGGAGGAACTGAACGAGTGGAGGGGGGTGGCTGAGGAGAGGGGCAGGGATGTGGAGGGAATGAGGAGGGAAGTGGAGGAGGCGAGAGAGGAGAGGGAGGAGAGGGGGAAGGCGTTGGTGGGACTTGAGGAGAGAGTGAGGGAGTTGCAGGGGGAGCTGGAGGAGGAGAGGAGGAGGCGGGAGGAAGAAGAGGTGAAGAGAGTGGAAGAGGAGAGGAGGAGGGAGCAGGAGGAGAAAGCGAGGACGAGTGAAGGGGAGGGGGAGAAAGAGGTTGGAGACGCACGGGCACAGTTGATGGAGAAAGAGGAGTGGTTGAGAGCGGTAGAGGGGCAGTTGAAGGAGGTTCAGTCCCAGCTTGCAACGGTTGAAGAGCGGTTGGTGGCGATACAGGGAGAGAAGGAAGTAGCAGAGGAGAGAATACGAGAGCTGGAGACTGAGAGAAGCGCGAGGGAAGAGAGAGTTTGTGCACTAGAGGATGAGAAGGCAGGTTTGGCTAGGGAGTTGGAGCAGGAGAGGGAGAGGAGAGAGGAAACGGATAGGAATCTAGTGGGAGTGCAGGGTGGGTTGGATGAGGAGAGGGAGGCGAGGAGAGTGGCAGAAGCTGAGCTGGATAGTGTACGTTCTGAGCTGGCAAGTGCTCGTGATGAGCTGGCACGTGTCCGTGCTGAGCTGGCAACGGCTGGTCGTGATGAGGAGAGGAAGGATGAAGGTGAAGCAGGAAGCAGTGGGGAGGATGCTGATGCAGTGGCTGTGAGAGAGAGAGTGAGGGAGCTGGAGGAGAGAGTGAGGGAGGAGGAGAAGAGCGTGAAGGAGGAGGGGGAGAGAGTAAGATTGCAGGAGGAAAGACTGAGGGAGAAAGAGGAGAGAGTGAGGGAGGAGGTGGAGAGAGTGAGGGAGGAGCGAGAGAGAGCCAAGGAGCTGGAAGTGAAAGTGGCAAAATTGGAGGGTGAATTAGCAGAGCTACAGTTGCAATTAGAAAAGGAAAGGGAGGAATGGAATGTCACAAAGGAACAGCTTGGAGCAGATAATGAACGAGCTTGTAACGAGGCTAAAGAGCAAAGGGACCAAGCATCCCAACTGAGGACTTCCCTCTTGGAGCTTGAAGCACAGAGGGATGCGTGGGCAGTTGAAAGAGATGCTCTTGTAGCAGCAGAGCGGCAGGTGCAGGATGAGAAGCGGGGTTTGGAGGAGCTGGTTGCGGTGCTGAGAGGTCGGATTCAGGAGGTGGAGGCAGAGAGGGATGGGTTGCAGGCAGCTGTTGGTCGGCTGGAGGGAGAGAAGGGGGACTTGCAGGAAGCAGTGGAGTGTTTGGAAGGGGAAAAAGGGCGATTAGAAGGGGAGAGGACTGGTTTAATGGCGGAAGTTTCTCGTTTGGAAGCAGAGAAGGAGGGTGCTCAGATGGAGGAAGAGCGGTTGCGAGGTGAATTGGAAGAAGAGAGGAGGAGAGCGGAGAGTGCGAGGGAGGAGGGTGAGGAGAGGGGGAGGAGGGTAGGTGAGCTGGAAAGAGTGGTTGAGGTCTTGAGGGGCGAGATGGAAGAGATGAGAAGGGAGAGGGGGGAGAGGGGGGAGAGGGAGGAGAGGGGGGAGAGGGGGGAGAGGGGGGAGAGGGGGGAGAGGGGGGAGAGGGGGGAGAGGGAGGAGAGGGAGGAGAGGGAGGAGGTGAGTAGGGATGAAGTGGCTAAGGGTGAGAAGGAGTGGAGAGTAAATGAATTGGAGCGAGCCTTGCAAGAGAAGGAAGGAGAGGTGGAGAGACTGGTGAAGGAGGTGCGAGAAAAGGAGTTGATAATTGAGGAGTTGAGAGTGCAGGTTGGGGAGAGGGATGGGGACCTTGAGAGGCTGAGGCAGGAGGTGGGGGAGAGGGAATCGATGATGGGGGAGTTGAGAGAGCAAGTTGGGGAGAAGGAACGGGAGATTGAGAAGTTGAAGAGCGAGGTTGGGGAGAGGGAAGGGGAGGTAGAGAGGCTGAGGCGGGAGGTGGGGGAGAAGGAGGCAGCAGTGGCGTCGGTGGCGGCGGCACGCAGCAAGGCAGTGGAGAAGCTGAAGATGATGGTTGATAAGCTCAAGGAGGTGCAAGCACAGGTGGGTTATACGCAATTGGGTTGCTCCAACTTGATGGTCTTCATTTATTTTTGGGCACGTTGTAGAGAGGGATAGGAAATACAGGTTCTGTTGACCCACGGGAGCCAATGGTGCAGGTTTTTCTTTCCAGCTTATAAGTAATGTGGTTATTACTGAAACCTAAGAAGGGCAATGAGAATAATTACCCATTTCATTGCCTGTGGCCTTATCCCTGAATTTCTGTCCCTCCCTACCCTCCCTGCCCGTATCCCTTCTTTATCCATTCCTTCTCACCCCATCCCTTTCCCGTAAGCACAGTCAGAGGCAGTGGTGCAGGAAGCAGAGATGAGACTGGAGGAGAAGGACCGGGAGATTGAAGAGAGGCTGAATGTCCGTCTTATAGCCTTTCCCTCTTTGTCTGTCCTGTCGCTGTTCTTCTGTTCATCCTCACCCCATCCCTGTCCCATGAGCACAGTCGGAGGCAGTGGTGCAGGAGGCAGAGATGAGACTGGAGGAGAAGGACCGGGAGATGGAGGAGCGGCTGAGAGAGAAGGATAAGGAGCTGCAGGGGGTGTGGGACCGTCTAAGATTGGCTGAGGCTCAGTTGGGAGGGATGGCCGGTGGCAGTGCTCCTGCTCCTGCTCCTGCTCCTGCTCCTGCTCCTGCTCCTGCTCCTGCTCCTGCTCCTGCTCCTGCTCCTGCTCCTGCTCCTGCTCCTGCTCCTGCCCCTACTGCTGCCCTGACCGCTGCTGTTTCTGGTTTCTCTGGTGATCTGATAGTTGATGGTGGTGCTGCTGCTACTGGTGCTGTTGCTGGTGCTGGTAATGGCGTTAGCAGTGATGTTACGAAAGGTGGTGAGGGGGAAAGCATGGCTGGTGGTGCAGCAGCTGGCACTTTGGCGCCACAACAGCAGAAGTCTGAGGCAGGCGGTGCTGCTCTTCCTGACGTGGCAGAGAAGGATGCTGAGCTGGCAAGGCTGCGCGATGAGGTGGCAGCAGCGGGCGAGGCGGTGAAGGTGCTTGAGGGGCAACTGGAGGCAGCAAGAAGGGAGGCAGATGACCTGGTGAGAGCACATGAATGCTGCTTCTTGTGTTACTAGTCTTTCGTTGTACCCCCTTCTCCATTCCTTATGAGAGGCACAAGGCAGGCACCTCACCACTACCCTCCTCCTCCTCCTCCTCCTCCTCCTCCTCCTCCTCCTCCTCCTCCTCCTCCTCCTCCTCCTCCTCCTCCTCCTCCTCCTCCTCCTCCTCCTCCTCCTCCTCCTCCTCCTCCTCCTCCTCCTCCTCCTCCTCCTCCTCCTCCTCCTCCTCCTCCTACTACTACTACTACCTTCTCGTACCAGTCTCCACAAGTGAATTCAACTTTTACTTGTAACTTGTTTTTCCGCTGTGTTTCCATGCAACCCCGTCTCCTGTCCCTCATCAGAAGCGCAAGGCAGTCCAGTCACCTCTGCCCTCTTCCTCCTCTTCCTCACAATTAGCCTCAGCATCAGCCTCCACTCTCCTGCCAGTCACCACGCAGAGGAAGGCAGCACCCGGGGGAGGTGCATCCGACACGTCAGCAGAGTACCTGCCACTGCTGGCGCAGCAGCTCGCAACGTCATCATCCGCCTCGCTGGCGGGCCACACGGCGCTGCAGATCTCTGACTCGTACCCCGATGATGAAGGTGGGAAAGTGGGAAACAACAGTTGGCACGACAAGAGGCATGTGCTTGGGGGTTTGCAACGAAGGCTCATCTGTCCCTATAATCTCTTCACTATGCCTGCAATGCCTGCAGTACCTGCAATGGCTGACTCATTGACTAACCCATCGTCTCTGGTGAACCTGCCTCTCTGCCTCTCTTCCATTCACTTCGAAATGTTTCCCACTCCTCCCCGCTCACCCCCACCACAGTGCACGGGTTCAAGTCAATAGTCAGTGCCTTCCGTTTCCTGCCGTCCTTCCTGCACCCAGCCGCCAAGGGCATCGACCGCCTATGGTACGTGCCTGCTGCTCCTTCCAGCCTTCAATGCTGCATCTGCTCCTGCCTCCTGTTGCGTCTTCCACTCGTCACTCAACTGGCTTCTTTCTTTCATTCCATTGGGAGACAGTTGAGATCTCCCACTCCATTGGTCTTCATCTCTCCCCCCACTCTTTCCATTTCCCAGTGTGGTGGGAGGGCAGTCGCTGATGGCTCGGCCCATTATGCGCCGCTGCTCGTGCTCTACTGGATGGCCATGCATGCTGCGTTGCATTCACGTCCCCGAGATTCCTGCCGTCTTCCCTTCTGCTGCCCTCCTGTTGCCACCCCAACTCTTTCGCTTCACTTTCTACCTTTCTTCTTATCTCTTTTTCTTCCTCCCCATTCGTCTTGCTCTCCTTCCTCCCCACCCACCCCCCCTCTTGCACCAGTGTGGCGGGAGGGCAGTCACTCATGGCACGACCCATGATGAGGCTGCTGCTCGTGCTCTACTGGATGGCCATGCATGCTGCCATGCTTGCTATGCTTGCCGCCCTCACTGTTGCCTGATGCTGAACATGCGGCATGCATCATACATCATGCATCATGCACTGAGTGTCATACATCGTGCACTGAGCGTCATGCATTGCGCATCATACATCATGTGTCATGATTTGCACATTATGCATTGGTATGCACCCGCATAATGCATCATATGCACAGTACAAGGCATTGATAAGATGCTTACAAACAACATTTTACCATTCTTGTCTGGATCAGGAGTTTGTCTTGTGTTGTTTCTTCCTGCAGTCCCACAGTTAGAACTTAGCATAGCAATGTTACCAAAAACCTAGTACAGTAGATTCAACCATTTGTGTGGCAAATTCAAATTTCATTATTTTCTTGTCTCAAAAAGCATTACAGCAGATATAACCATTGTAGGTGTACAATCTTTGCTCATCAACTCTTTGTCAGAGCCCTTGGGTCATGAAATGTCAGGACCTAGACAAATCATCAACAAGCCATCATGCCTCTTGCTGAAATGAACTCCCCCTAAACACGACACGCCCTATCCAATCCTATCCAGCATTGACATATGAATCAGCAAACCAAGTGCAGGGCGGGCTGGAAATTCATGGGGGGGTGAGGGAGGAGGAAGGCGGGGTGAGTGAGGAGGAAGGAGGAGTGAGTGAGGAGGAAGGAGGAGTGAGTGAGGAGGAAGGTGGTGTGAGGGAGGAGGAAGGCGGAGTGAGGGATGAGGCCACAGCATCCTCCACGTGAATGCCACACTCTGTCTTGTCCGACCCGTCTCTGTTCTTCAGCCCCTGGAACCGCCCCGACCGCTCTCCACCGTACTCGAACCACTTGGCACGCGGAACGGGCAGGGTGGTCTGGATGTCACCAATGGAGGGGAAGCCATCCGCGTGAAGAGGGTGGGCTGGCACCCCATGCCTCTCCAGGTAATCAAAGCAGTCCCTGGTGGGGGAGAGGGGTGGGGGACGAAAGAGTGGTTTAGTAGGGTGGTCTGGTCTGTATGTCTCCAATGGAGCGGAAGCCGTCGGCGTGAAGAGGGTGGGCTGGCACCCCATGCCTCTCCAGGTAGTCGAAGCAGTCCCTGGTGGTGTGCGGGGCAAGGCGGGGGCCATAGAGGAGTGGGGTTGAGGTTTTGGAAGGAGGATTGGAGGACTGGCAGAATGGCGTGCATGTCAATGGTGGGTGGGGATGTCGGCATGCAAGGAGGGGGATGGCATTCCTGTAGCATTAGCAACCCATCACGGCCAGCCCATACCATCACATCACAGCATCAAGCACCCCTCACAGCAGGCATACCATCAGGAACCGAGGGACCATGACCCCACAGCATCACATTACAGCATCGGCAACTCCCATAGTAGCTAGCATACCTGAATTCCCAGTATGCGAGGGGCTGCACCTTCACTGGTGTGCCGTCTTCAAATAGCTGAGTGGTGGGATGATGTACGGTGAGATGTGGCAGTGAAGGAAGGGGAGAGGCAAAGGAAGGGTGGCATGGCATGAAAATGATGGGCCTTCGCCGCATGGATCATGGCATTCCATGTGACATGGGATGATGCATATGGTATGTCATGGCACCATGCAACATGTGGCATGCCACACGGTATATGGTATGTGGCGTGCGTGTGGCATGTGACATCCGGTACCTTGCATGTGACATCCCGTACCTTGCTTGCATGTGGCAATACAGAAATCACTGCCAGGTGCGACCTCAAACATAAAACAACCGTGGAAAGGGTGGAGGCAAGCTCACCTCCAGGTGAGCCCTCTCCGCGCCGCGGTCTCTGCGGCGCCCGTTGATCATGGCATCCACGTTGAGCGACGTCAGCGCTACAGCCAGGTGCACCCTCTCACTAACCTCCAGATGTAACGAAAAACAGCTGACTCACCTCCAGGTGCGCCCTCTCAGCGCCATGGTCTCTGCGGCGCCCGTTGATCATAGCGTCCACGTTGAGCGACGTCAGCGCGCGGCTGAACGGCTCCACCTTGCAGATCTGGTCGTACTCGTCTATGTCCTGGCAGGTGGACGATGGTGGGGGGATGAGGCGGATAGGGGGGGGGGATGAGGTGGATAGGTGGGGGGATGAGGGAGCGAGGAAGTGGGGGAGGTAAGCACGGCACGGCTGAAGGGCTACACCTTGCAGATCTGGTCGTACTCGTCTATGTTCTGGCAGGTGGACGATGGTGGGGAAAGGGGAGTGGACAGGTGGTGGGGTGCAGGAAGGCATTGGGGAAATGGGAGTATCGAGGAAAGGGGTGATATTACCAATGTGCTTTACCATGATAGGCATGGGGTAGGGGAGAAGAGAAATAGGAGGGTGCGCAATGGGTTGGAGGGGTTCGTTTCAGGGATGACGAATGCGAGATAACGTGTAGAACTATGGAGGCGGTTTGCAGCTTACCCGGATGAAGAGGTCGGAGCCATGTTTCTTGACGTAGTCCTCCTTGGAGTTAAGCCCCGCAGCTTGAAACACCTCCGCCTTGAACCCAAAACGCTCCTGCGCCGCGACGAACAAGAGAAAACAGGACAGGATGCTCGGTCAGCAACGCATGCTGGTCGAAACAATTCGTCCTATGAGAATAAACTTTAAGGAGAGGGCAATTGGCTTATTAGTAAGAAAAAAAAAGCTTTAAAAGGCTCATGGAGCTCCGAGAGATTGTGATGGGTTGCGAGGCGGGCTGAACGTTGACCCGCATGAGTTCCTCAAGGCTCCTCACTCCTCAGCACGGTGTTCGTCCAGACACTCACACTTTCGCCATTGCTTCATAGAAGGCATTGCGTTACGTACCACGCAGCCATTCATGAACTGGTAGGTCTTTGGGATTGAAATTGTGCATGGCGTCTCTTTGTTCAGAGTTCTGGTAGGACTCATACGCTACGCTCAATTCATTCTGCCCCGAGGTACACCGCTCGCAGTCACACTGCACCGCAACGTACCTCGCAGTCCTTGAGGAACTGGTACGTCTCCGGGAAGAGGTGGAAGGTGTCGATGAACACGACCTTCACCTTGGGATTGTCGCCCAGCGCGCCGAGCCGGTGCAGCAGGTGGAGGATAACCTGCCAACGAGGAACATTAAAACGAGGACAAATCGATGGATGGAATGAGAGGCCACATTAGGATGGGAAAAATGAAGAAAAACGATAGGGCACCATGTGCTCGATAGGCGAATCAGCGCTGACGCATTGGACGAAGCTCCTGGTATGCTTCATTCATAATTTTTTGATTTGATTAAAATTGTGATGATAGTGAGGTGCTTACCACGTCGCCCGCGATAAGCGCGCATGGAAACGTTGGGCGCTCGAATGAATCGATGGTCTTCTGAAGCGCATCCAAAGCTTGACCCTCCAGCTGCTCTTGCCGGACCAGCCGCGCCGCCTTGCTCCATTCCTCCACGTCAGCACTGGTTACCGCCGAGGCTCGAGCCGATCCGACTGCTGTCCTTCGGATTGTCGCGGTCTGGCGAACTTGAAGCGATTCTTGAACGAATCTTACGGCGGTGGTGTCGGTAAGAGTCCTTGCCCCGCGTGCGTTAAAGGGGCTGGCTTGACAGGAGCTACCAGATTCGCCGAGGCGCGCTCGGCTGGACGACGGCCGTCCAAGATTTGCGCGAGACGCGTGCTTTACAATGGTCGCCATTGCAAACTGACGAGACTAACGATGGACGAGGGAGAGTACAAAAGAGAGAAAATAACAGGCAAGGAAAGGGAAGAAAGGGCGACGTTTATGCTAATCTGGATGGTGCGAGCGAGCAGTCACAATGGCGACGTCCACTCACAGTATGAATTTCCCAGTCCAGATGCAAAGCAAGAGATGAGACTCGAGAGGAGACCGAGAGCAGAAAACGAGTTTCGCAGGACAAATTCTCTCATCCGTGGCAGCGGCAAGCGGAATGGGATGGGATGGATGAGTTGCGCAGGAACCTTGGGTTCTGCCAGCCACAAACCTACGTGGCACCTACTTTCACACCGCTTCGGAAAGGGCATCTTTTGCGTCTGCGCACGCGAAGGCTGAAGGCGGTGATTGGTGGACCGGTCCAGCTAGGTCAGATATGCTGCAGGAAAGCTGACGAAGGTTGATTTTCAGGCACTCGTGTTGGGATTTGTTGATGACGTGCCCGAGCTTTGAGGAAACAGCTTTGGAACTTTCTTGCCCACGTGGAACTAGGTGACTCGGCGGCAGAAATGCAAGGTTCAAATGAACCCATACCACTTCCCATGTCTCGATATATGCATTTCTCCCTATGCAGACTTCAAACGAACAATCTACTACACTCGTTGTGTATTGATTACTTTCGTATTTGCTAGAGTGTGCCTTCCTAGGAGCGAATCTCACCTCACCTCGCCACCACCATCTCAACGGCTGTGTGCGTTCTTCGTGATTTTCCCACAAATTCGGTCCTCTACTCGCCCCTCCCACCGAATCTCTCGCTAAAAATATGGATTTACGTTCGACCTCAGACATGGACATCGACAGAGACGCTTCGCAGACCGGCGGACCTCGCTCATCCACCCATCACCAGGATCGCGGCAATCTTCATCAGAGCAATTCATCTGCACAACATCAGCAACCAGCCCAGCACGCACACGAGCAACCAGACCTGCACGCTCCATCCTCTTCCTCCCTTCCTCAATCCCGAACCTCTCCCAGCCCTCCTCTGAACCAGTCCTCAAATCCTCTCTTGCCGATGGCACAACTAACCCAGGACCAGCAGCAGCGACTGGAGCTTTTAGAATTGGAGGAAAAGCGGCTGCAGAACGCAGTTCGGCATCTTATACGTTCCAACGAGGAGCTCCAAGCCGCGGACGTCGCGGAGCCGGATCCCGTGTACCGGGAAGCGCTTATGGAGAATCAAGTGGTTGTTCAGAGTCTTCGAGAGAAGATCGCGTTGCTCCAGGCGGAGATTGCGGAGATGAAAGGAAGGGATTCCGGCATGGAGGAGAGGGGTGGAGAAGTAGGGAGAGGGGATTGTGAGGGAGAGGATGGTGAGGTACAGGGTGGTGCAGCTGGTGCTGCTGATTCTGCAGCACCACCAGCAACTAGTGCACTAGAAACAGAAGTTGAAAATGGTTGGCTGTGATATTCTTGCTTTGTTCTAGTGTACAGTGTGCTTTCTCTGTGTTGTTCACTACTGTCGTAGGTACTACTGATCATGGTAGAAGTGTTGGTGGTGCAAGTTCAGATCATGGCTCCAGTGTAATTGCACAAACTACTACGTGGTACTCTTGTAGCGCCCCAAGCAATGGGCTTCAGGGGCATCAATGCAAAGAAAGACTCGAGCTAACATTTGGGGGAAATACCATTTAGAACTTACACAAGGCGAGAAATACCTCCCAAGAGTGTTCTCAACCCTTGATGGTCCCCATTTCTATCGCCCCATCATGATCCTCCACAAACCGTCTCCCATTCCCCAAGCCCCCCCCATGCCCGCCAACCCTGCCCTCCCGACCCTCCCGAATCACAGGCAAGCCATGAGCAGGCGACCCAGAATTCCCCATCCGGGCAGGTGAAGAAGATGTAGGGCCCAGCCGGGCAAGCGAACCAGACAAATTACCCTGGGCAGGGGACGCAGACTGGCCATGTCGGGCAGGTGCGGGAGAGGAGGTGGAAGAGGAGTGGGAGGAGGAGCGGAGGGTGGAGGGGATGAGGGTGCGCGTGTCGTCTTCGCTATCCTCGCTGTCTAGCTGGGTCACATGCATGTCAGACGATGCTGGTGACGACCCGTTCCAGTCGTGCCGAATCATGTTGGCTAGCTCCTGGGGTGTTGCACTGCAAGGAGTGAGGGAGGTGCCCAAGGAACGGGTTCACGTGAGGCAGGTTCATAGAAGACAGGAGAGGAGAGACGGGTGATAGCCATCTTGGTATAGTATCATCATAAGGTTTTGCACCGAATCATACTGGCGAGGTTTTGCAGCCTTGAACTGTGCAAAGAGTGAGAGAGGGTTGTGCGGCGAGCAGCAGAGGAGCAGACACTTGTTTGCTCTTGCTTGCACCTGTCCACGGACACTGGAATGTGACAAGTGAAGAGCAGGAGGAGCGGGCGATCACGACAAGCAGATTCAGCGTTACGGCTCCTGCCACTCACTGCTCCTGCCGTATCATCCTCCCAGCACTCACAGCACCCCCACAAGCACTCACTGGTCTTGCCGTCTCGTGCGTTCGACGAACCACACAAAGGCAGCGATGGTGGCAAACCACCCCACCGTGGGCCTTATTGCTCCTCTTATCTCATCCCCCGCAGCACTCACAGCCCCCTCCCTCCCAAGCACTCACTGGTCCTGCCGTCTTGTGCGCTCCACGAACCACACAAAGGCAGCGATGGTGGCAAACCACCCCACCGTGGGCCTTATTGCTCCTCTTATCTCATCCCCCGCAGCACTCACAGCCCCCTCTCTCCCAAGCACTCACTGGTCCTGCCGTCTCGTGCGCTCCACGAACCACACAAAGGCAGCGATGGTGGCAAACCACCCCACCGTGGGCCTTATTGCTCCTCTTATCTCATCCCCCGCAGCACTCACAGCCCCCTCCCTCCCAAGCACTCACTGGTCCTGCCGTCTCGTGCGCTCCACGAACCACACAAAGGCAGCGATGGTGGCAAACCACCCCACCGTGGGCCTTATTGCTCCTCTTATCTCATCCCCCGCAGCACTCACAGCCCCCTCCCTCCCAAGCACTCACTGGTCCTGCCGTCTCGTGCGCTCCACGAACCACACAAAGGCAGCGATGGTGGCAAACCACCCCACCGTGGGCCTTATTGCTCCTCTTATCTCATCCCCCGCAGCACTCACAGCCCCCTCCCTCCCAAGCACTCACTGGTCCTGCCGTCTCGTGCGCTCCACGAACCACACAAAGGCAGCGATGGTGGCAAACCACCCCACCATGGCCCACAGGAACCCCACCTGGCACTCAGTGCATTACAGCCTGCCACTCGCCCCCGCACTCACTGGTCCTGCCTTCTCGTGCGCTCCACGAACCAAACAAAGGCAGCGATGGTGGCGAACCACCCCACCATGGCCCACAGGAACCCGTCCACCGTGTAGTCATCCCCCCCCGTCTCCCCCAGCTCCATTATCCCCGTCAGCAGCGCCGCTCCCCCCACCAAGAGGGCTCCGCGGCCGAATAGTCTGCGTGTAAAACAGGAAAGGCAGAGAGGCATGAAGAGTGCCTATTGCCCAATGTGTGTGGGGCCCACAGGAGTCCGTCCACTGTGCAGTCAACTCCCCCTGTCTCCCCCAACTCCATTATCCCTGTCAACAGCGCTGCTCCCCCAACCACCACCGCTCCCCGGTTAAACAGACAGCAGGTGACGTGTCTGTGAGGAGTGGCATTTTTCGTATCAGGTGCACGTAACATGCCTCTCATGTGCGTATGCATACACTAGGTTACATGGTCTCTTCTATACACAGGATGCCAGATGAAACGCACTCACAGGTGTACCCACTGCCAGATGACCCGTTTCATCTGAGGCCTCTCCCCAGGCGACGGTTTGGGCGGGCGGAAGAAGGCATTGATTGGCTGGAAGCACCCCAGGGCAAACGTTGCCATTCCTATCTTGGCATGATTGGATGATAGGTCGATGCTGCGAGGGTGAGTGGGAGAGAGGGGGGCGAAGAGGGGGGATTTGGGGACGAGAAAGAAGCATCCAAATAGGAACGTTGCCATTCCTATCTTGGCATGATTGGATGATAGGTCAATGCTGCGGGACACGGCGAGTAGGAGAGAAGTGGGAAGCGGGAAGGAGGGGAAGAGTAGCGGGAGGTGGGATGAAGGTGGAGGTGGGGGAATGGGAAGACGAGAGAGTAACATGAGGTAGCAATTGGAGGATGGGGGCTGATGAGACGGGAAGCAGACAGTGAATGTGGCATACTGAGAGGCACGCGAATCAAAGAGGGCGAGGGCGTGAGATGCTAGAGAATCAAGAAGGTTGAGCGACAAGAAGTAGAGGGGTAGGAGGATCAAAGAGGCATGAGCGTGAGAGGCACGCGAATCAAAGAGGGCGATGGGCGTGAGATGCTAGAGAATGAAGAAGGTTGAGCGACAAGAGGGGTAGGAGGATGAAGGGTTAAGACAAGCATGGGATATGAGTGTGACGGGATATATGGCAAGAGCAAGGGATAAGAGCAACGAGGGCGGGTGGGAGGAGGCAAGGGATAAGAGCAACGAGGGCGGGTGGGAGGAGGCAAGGGATAAGAGCAACGAGGGCGGGTGGGAGGAGGCAAGGGATAAGGACGCACCCGCCCAGTTCACCGACGGCGAAGAGCAGCCCGAGCAGCATGAGCGCAAGGGCGGAGTACTGCGTGTACTGGTGGATGCTGTTGGTGGGAGGGGTGGGAGGGGAGGGGGAAGGGGAGGGGAGGGGAGGGGAGGGGAGGGGAGGGGAGGGGAGGGGAGGGGAAGGTGGGAAGAGACAGAGTGAGAGACAGCCGAGGAGCATGAGAGCGAGGGTGGAGTACTGCGTGTACTGGTGGATGCTGTTGGGGGGAGGGGTGGGTGAGGGTGAAAGAGAACAGGGAAGGACGGAAACCAGAGAAGTTGCTTGAGCGGGGAGCAACTGAGTGAGGGGCAGCATAAAAGCACGAGGGCGAGGACAGGGCACTGACTCGCTGCCAGCACCCCGAACGGAATGAGAACAGCCCAAGCCATGGTCATCATGAAGCCATGCACCACAAACACCCACCGGCTGCAGATGCTCCATCATGCCCTCTCCCACCCCCTTGACTGCTGACAGCACGGCCAAGCGTCTCTTTGACTGCTGGCGATGCAAAAAACAGCCCTAGAGCCTTCAGGAAGCAAGCACTTACGAAAGCCAGTCGTTGTGCTTGAGGTATCTCGCAGCCAGCACACCAAAGGGCATGAGAACAGCCCAAGCCATGGTCATCATGAAGCCATGCACCACAAACACCGGCTGCAGATGCTCCACCGTTCCCTCGCCAGTTTCCAAGTCCAGGATGGTGACGGTGGTGCTCCATACCGTGTGCATGTTCATGTAGGACAGCTTGCCTGGGGTGTGAGGGAGGGGAATGGGGAAGTGGAAAGGGGACGGGGGATAGGGGAGGGAGGAGGAGGAGTGAGGCACAAGGCATTGCCTGGCTCGAGGGTCTACTAGGATGGTGACGGTGGTGCTCCACACCGTGTGCATGTTCATGTATGACAGCTTGCCTGGTGGTGGAGAGGGTGGGGGGAGAGGGGATGGGAGTATGACCGAGCAGAATGCGCCACAAGGCTGTGCAGCACACATCATGCGCTCGAGGTCTACTAGGATGGTGACGGTGGTGGTGCTCCACACCGTGTGCATGTTCATGTAGGACAGCTTGCCGGGGGGAGGGGTGAGGAAAGAGGTATGAGCACAGGGCACAGGGATGAGGGAGCTGGCATAAGGGAGATTCAACTCAATACTTCATCATTGGGAGTCTCATCCATCCACTGTAAAGAGAGACTTGCTAGCAGTCGCAGCAGGCTTACCTGAGGTCCAGGAGGGCCCGTACGCCCAAATGACTTTGAGGGGCTCTGAGGGGTCGATGACGCTGCACTTGTCGTCGCAGTCCGAATCGGGTGGCTTCAGCGGGCGGCTGAACTCAAACGTCAGTACCCCATCCACCTGTTCACACATGCAGACAAGGGGATGTGGTTGAGGAGGGAAATGCACACACAGACTGGTGGGGATGTGGATGGGGAGGAGGGGAGCATGTATGCACACACACACACACAGGGATGGATTCAAGAAAGCAAGGAAGCAAGCAGGCCTGCACTGCACTGCACTGCACTGCATGCCCCCCATCCCCCCTCCCCTCCCCCCTTCCCCTCCCCCATGCCGCACCTGCATGTACTTGCTCATGTCAAGAGCCTCCCTGGTGGCATGCACGCGGGTGGCATCTTTGCCATCAATCCAGGACCCCAACATGCACCTGCCTGCATTGCACCTGCCTGCACTGCATGCAAACATCCCTGCCCGCACATGCACCACATGTCACGCTACTGGCGTCCTTGACAACAATCCAGTATGATGCCACCCGCCCCTCAACCCCCCCTTTCCACACCCCCCCATGCCCCGTCTGCATGCACCCTGCCCTCTTGTCTTAATTACCCACCTGCATGCACTTGCTCATGTCGAGCGCCTCTCTGGTGGCATGCATGCTGCTGGCGTCCTTGCCATCACTTTATCCAGTAGGACGCCACCCCCCCCTCTCCACCCTCCACCCAGCGCAGCACATGAAACAACCCCCCACCCACAACACACACATCCTCACACGCACCTGCATGCACTTGCTCATGTCGAGCGCCTCCCGAGCAGCATGCACGCTGCTCGCATCCTTGCCATCAATCCAATAGGACGCCACCCGGCCCTCCCCGCCCTCCACCCATCCCACATACGCCCACGAATTCACCATGCCACTAGAAAGGGAAGGGTGGAGGAGGAGGGAGCAGAATCAGAAGAGAGAATTGACGGAATTGAGGGGACAAAGTGGTTTAAGTCTGTTCGCCCCTCGCCCCTTTCCACCCACCCCACCCACAAACTCTCATGAGTTCACCATGCCACAGGAAGGGGGAGGGAGGACGGAGAGGAGTGTTGAGGAGATTGAGGGATTCAAGTGGAAGGAAGGCAATGAGATGAGACTGTTCGCCTCTTTCCGCCCTCCACCCACTCCACTAATACCCACGCGTTCACCATGCCACTGGGTGTATGTGAAGAGTAACGAAAAGGCGGAGAATTGAGTGATTCGAGTGCAATGACGGAAATGCCATGATGAGTCTGGGTCATCCCTCATCCCCCTTCAACCTAACTCTTGAAACAACCCCTTGCTTACCTCCCAAAGGCTATGGCGATGTAACCCGAGGGGTGTTCCCCCCTGACCGCCACGAATATCGAGGAGGCAGTGAGCGTCCAGAACATGGTGACGAGCCCGTCTGCCAGCTGGAAGGTACCCCAAGGGATCAGCTCTCGACTTACCTGCCAAAGGCTATGGCGATGTAACCCGAAGGGTGCTCGCCCCTGACCGCCACGGATATGGAAGAGGCAGTGAGCGTCCAGAACATGGTGACGAGCCCATCTGCCAGCTGGAAGCTGTGGTTGTACATGTCTGAGAGGCCCCCGTCCACCACGTGGATTCGCCACCCCATCTTAGGCTCCGAGTAGCACTGTGGTTCAGCAGTGCAGGGCGGACAGTGAAGGGTGGAAAGTGAAGGGCAGAGGGGGGGGGGATTGAAGGGAAAGAGGATGATCGAGAGTCTAGAACGAGTTGGAGAGTGGAGGTTGAAAGGGGATGGGAGGAGAATGGAGGGGGGTGGAAGCTGTGGTTGTACATGTCCGATAGGCCGCCGTCCACTACGTGAATGCGACACCCCATCTTAGGCTCCGAATAGCACTGGAAAAAGCGAGGGAGGGTAGGGGGGTGGGAAGAAGGGCAGAATGAGAGAGGGGATGTTAACACTCCCCTATCCACATTGTATCGATACTAGAAGTCTCGCCACTACCAGTCATCCAGTCACCCATTTGGAGTGGAACTAGTTGGATTCCACAGCAGAGTGTGCTGTGCGTGCATGGGCGTGCCAGCTCCAACATGTGTGCCGCCATAACCAGTCACCCAATCAACCACCCACCCACCCACGTGGTAGTAAACAAGGTCTGCTGTGAAACCTGTTGGTTTCCACAGCAGGGTGTACGGAGTTGACTTTTGAGTCGACTCAAAAGTCAACCCACCCACCCACGTGGTAGTAAACAAGGTCTGCTGTGAAACCTGTTGGTTTCCACAGCAGGGTGTACGGAGTTGACTTTTGAGTCGACTCAAAAGTCAACCCACCCACCCACGAGGTAGTAAACAAGGTCTGCTGTGAAACCTGTTGGTTTCCACAGCAGGGTGTACGGAGTTGACTTTTGAGTTGACTAGTCAACCCACCCACCCACGTGGTAGTAAACAAGGTCTGCTGTGAAACCTGTTGGTTTCCACAGCAGGGTGTACGGATCCGCCACCGGCACCAACAACAATACCGGTCACCTAGTCACTCAACCATCCCACCACCCACCTGATAGTAAACGAGGTCAGGAGTAGAACTAGTGGGTTTCCACAGCAGGGTGTAGGGATCCGCCGGCACGCCATGCGCCTCCTCGCCGCCCGCGAATATAATCTCCGACTTGTTAAACCGCCCGCCCACAGGATCCGATGTGATATACACCCCCAGATCATGCCCTGCTTGTATAGAGAATTGCACTGGCACCCCCCTCTCCACCTTAATCTCCGGTGCCTCGTGCCCGTTCACATAGAAGCTTTTCGTTGACGCTGGCGGGTTGGGGTAGTGCGTGCTTTTTCCCGATGTGACTGTAATGAGCGTGCCTCGGTCTGCGACGACGACTTTCCCCCATCCGCTCCCCACCACCCCTCCCAACCCATCCTCATCATCATCATCATTATCATCCCCGTTCCCATCCCCGCTCCCACCAGCCCCTCCTGCTCCTCCTCCTCCTGCTCCTCCGCCCCCTCCTCCTGCATTTCCCACACCAAGTGCTGGGTTCAACACACTCTGACAGTCATCTACAGCCAGGCTTAGAGTCAACACCGCCACCCCAAAAAACGACCCCTGTGGGACCCCATGGTAGGACGGAAAGAGGTGGGCGGGGGGCGTTCGTGCCGCCCCTGCCACCCCACCTACCACCGAGGGATTAGAGATGGAGGAGGAGGAGGATGAGGAGGAGGAGGATGAGGAGGGGGATGGGATGGGCTTTAAGGAGCCAAGCGCCCAGATCACGTTCATCTCATCCTCTGCGTCGATATCGTGATCAAATCTTTTGTCCGGGCTCACGAGCGGGCGGCGGAAGCGGACGAAAGTGATGCCGTCCACCCGGTGGCCGTAGATCAGATCCACGTTGTCGAGAGACGAGTTGCCGCCGCCCAGAAGCTGGTCGGGGCACACGCCCTCTGGCGTTTTCTTCTCCAGGTTGCATTCCCCGTATGATGTGACATAGTAATCCTCCACAAATGGTTTCGCCTGGTGCAAGGGGCCCGAGGTTGGATGGGGGAGAGAGAGAAGTAGGGGTCATGCGTTATGAGGCATGCCCCCTCTGGTGCCTTTTCCCCCAGACTGCATTCCCCTTACGAGTGATTTTTGAGAATTCTCAAAAATCACTCGCATGAAATGTATTCATCTTGCACAAAAATTTTGCCTGGTGAGGTGAAGGTCCATGTTCCTCTACTTTTCTCCCCTCCCCCCTCCCCTCCCCCTTTGAACTCACCACTTCATCAAATCCCGCAGTCACCACGTCAGCAAACCCCATAGACTTGGCCATGCTCTCGTAATCGCCCCATCCCAAACTCGTCCCACGCTCACATATACTGCGGTTCACTCCCCTACAACCGCAGTCAATCATCTCTTGCTACTCCAGCTCACCACCTCACCACCTCCCATTCTTTCCACACCCAGACCTCTACTCTCTTCCCTTCCTCCATTCCCCTTACCCCTTTTCCCCTCACCCTTTCTACTCACCACTTCATCGAACCCTGCAATCACCACGTCAGCAAACCCCATAAATTTGGTCACACTGTCGGGGTCCGCCCAGCCAAATCCCAGGTAATGCGGCCCACTCCCCACAACCGCTTCCAACCCCACGTCAACGAACCCCCTCGCCTCGTCCAGCGTCCACCGCACCCTATAACGGTGGCTCAGCTGCATGCAGTTGTCAAACATGGTCGGCTGCCTCTGCCCCTGCTTCACCCTCGGCTTCGCAGGTGGCGGGGGTGACAGCAAAGGTGGGGACTGGGGAGGGAGTGCGTATGAGGGTTCTGGCGGGAAGGCTGTATCAGGGGAGGGGGCATCTGTGGTGGGGGACGGCTGACGGGAGGAGGCTGGGGCGAGGGGGGAAGGGGAAGGGGCGGAGGCGGGGGCGGGGGAGGGCGCGGGGGAGGGGGAAGGCGCTGGGGATGGGGCGGGCGGGGGGGCTGGGGGTTCGATGATCTCTAGGGCTATGTGACCGTAGTCTGAGGCAGTGGTTCGCGACCACACTGAGAGGAGCTTGAAGTCGCTCCACGTCACGTTTGATGCCAGGCGCACCTGGTTAGGGATCCAAGGAAGAGAGATGGAGGAGGACAAGGCGGTGTCAGGGGGGTAGCAGGATGACGGCATGAAGACATGATGCATGATGGCATGACCACATGATGGCATGACCACATGATGGCATGATTGTTAAGCGGCACTGCCCACTAACCACGACTGTTTGGCTGTTGAAGGTGCCGAGGAGGGGCTTGGGCGAGACGGGGAAGCCGTGCAGCAGGTCGTTAAGGGACGCGGACGCTGCTAGAGGATATTGGCAAGAAGTACTGCTAGTGGGTACTGGTAAGGGGCATTGCTGAGGGGCAGCGCTACTAACCACGACTGTCTGGCTGTTGAAGGTGCCGAGGAGGGGCTTGGGCGAGACGGGGAAGCCGTGCAGCAGGTCGTTAAGGGACGCGGACGCTGCTAGAGGATATTGGCAAGAAGTACTGCTAGTGGGTACTGGTAAGGGGCATTGCTGAGGGGCAGCGCTACTAACCACGACTGTCTGGCTGTTGAAGGTGCCGAGGAGGGGCTTGGGCGAGACGGGGAAGCCGTGCAGCAGGTCGGTGAGGGACGCGGACGCTGCTCCCCACCAGTACACGTCCTTCCCCGGCAGCATGTCAAACCGCGTCACCTGCCAAGAAGATTCGTCGAAGCATCAGGCGGCAATGAAGGGAGATGATATGAAAGCGCACAACGAGTTAACGGAATCAGCACAGAGCAGAGACCAAACGGTCCTGATTTCAGACGAATCAGAGAGGCGGCTACAATTCGCAATTCAGCAATGTTCACGCGTCACTGATGCACGAATCTACGGCTGTGCAGGACCAGAACCGTGACACGTGTTACCAAGCCTCGAATCCACGCCACCAAGCCGTTACACTCCAGCGACAACGACAGTCCACAGACCTACTTTCCTTAAACGAGCAATCGTCTCGAATATCGACCGTTGAGGGGAGCAGATGCTGCAGCATGCTGAGATGGCAACAACGCCTGTCCTGTTGAAGCACCACGCAACCAAATCACTCACCTTGAACGAACAATCGTCTAGAATCTCGACCGTTCCGCGAAGCTGATGTTGCAGCATGCTGAGATCGGCGACGAATCCGACCCACTCGCTCTCCTTGCTGCACTGGTACCGCTCCTCCCCTGGTATTATCCCCTCCTCCTCTTGACCCTTCACTGCACGATTCGCTACAAGAACGCTCGCTAAGAGAACAACTGCTAGCACGGATGGAGTCCATCCTGACTGAGTTAGTAAAATCTGATTGTAACGACGGCGGGTAGGAAGCTTCGTGCGATCTTTCTGCCCGCAGCGGAAATGCCGGGGTTGGTCTTGAGGTCCCCCGCATCGCATGTTAGCTTCGAGCCGCAGCCTGCTCGAGGCCCGCACGTGGCTCCAGCCTAAGGAGCTACTACTACGCTCTCGTTTGAATCACATCCAACATAGGCGGACCGGCTTGGAGAAACTACTTACCGGCTTGAAAAAAACCACCTAAGCTTTTTCTCAGAGACTTGCGAAAGTATTCGCGTACATTAGCGTGGTACTATAGGCACGAGGCTCAGCAACTAAGAAGAGTGAATTCGAGCCGTTCCCTCGACAGCCGCAACGGCACTTTTGTAACCTTTTTCCAGAGACGTTAATACGGCTACAGGCACTCTGATCTGTCAAGCAAACTCACGACAAAAATACCCGTCAGGCTAGGACGCACGCGATCAGCATTTAGAGATCGGCCATCGGCACTGGTCGAAGGAGCAGCCCACGAAACGTGCAACGAGATTCAACGAATTCGCTTTCGATTAGACGGCCAACGTAAGGAGCAGCTGCTACTGATAGCCACCAGCCAAACAGTAATAATATGAGCAATCAATGACCGTCGAGTCGTCGACACGAGCACGCGTGCAAGCCGAAGTATGTGAGGAGAGGGAGCAGATTCACTGTTGGACAGTGATCCTTTCTGGAGGAACCTAAGAAACATTCTCTGTAGTCCCTTCTTCCTCACAGAGCACGGAAAGCGAGTGACATTAACGAAGGGAGATGTTCGCAAGGCTCTGTCAGCGTGCTGTTCCGTGCAGATGCGCGCCACTTGGTGTCAAAATCTCGTTAGATGTAACAGCGGTGTGCCAACTATACTTGTGTGAGACACTTTTATTGTGGTGCTCTGTAACAGTTTATTGAAAGCATGATAATAATCTTGTGTATGACAGTTTATAAACGTCTCATTAACCGTCCACCATTCAACAAGTCCACTATCAGCATGTTCTTCACTAATGCCTAAAAACACTTCACTCGTATAAATAGTCACCAGAAGCTCCAAGGTGCGGAATCATGTGCAGAAACTCAGTAGTAACGGCTATTCACAGTAAACAACTGCACGAAAACATTATGCTAGTGCCTTCCATCAGAAGCAGTTCCAAGAGGGTCATCGAGGCACACGAATCCCCAGCAGCACCAACCTGCAGCCAAAGCCAGCAACAGAGCAGAGAAAATGAATTCTCACGCAACACGTCCCATGGCAACCTCATCAGTGTTGACTGAGCAACCCAAAATGAGGCCGGAAAGAGCAGGCAAGAGTCTCAAGATTCACACATGTAATCGCCAAAAAATGGCACTCTCAAGCAACGGAAAATGCATTGAGAGCTTCCTATCAGTTGACTGAAAAGCTCACTGTTGGCAATCCTTGGACAGGAGAAACAGACCATAAAAGCCATACTCCCGTGGCAGGAATGCCCAAAACGCTTTAGAAGATGCATCTATTCTATCGAGGCTCACTCAGGACTTCTTAAAGGGTTTAAAAAAGGTACGCATCGGCCTCGAAAGGCCTCATATACGTGTGATTTCATCACCGTGAGCGCCATTTTGTCACGAGCAAATCGTGTTGACGAGGGTTGAGTAGCTTACCACGGTGAAGAGTTATGCAAACACTTCAGTCGGCGTTGTGTCAGATACAACATACAACAGGAAACAAAGAAAGTGCTTAGTCAGAAAACGAAAACCCTTGGCTAGCAAGGTATATGTAACTTAGCATCGGAACGCATACAAGCGCAAACATGGGAACGAGAGGCGAAATGGAAATGTAGACGTCGCGGGAGAAGGTCGTTGTTTGACAAGAGAAGGTTCGGGGCTTTGAAACTGGTAGAATGCAGCACCGAGGAGAGACTTGGAATTGAGGGACGAGAGCAGCTGTAATATACCACCACTTCGGCTTGCAGCTGGCGGGGAGGAAAGGGGAACAAACCATGGCTCGTTAGAAGCTGACATTAATTATTTAGAGACCAGCCATTTGAGTATTGTACACTTTCAGCTTAGAAACAGTCATGAGTAAAAACTTGTTTGGGGACGTCGAATTTCTGCAATTGCGGTTCCAATTTCTGGTTTACAAGCTTTCATCCCACACACGTCACGGTTGTCTTCGGTCTGTCGCTCCCAAGAGCGGTAACTCGCAAGCACCGTGAGGAACCCGAAACCGCATGCGATGCAAATATGCCTTTTCCAACTCCAAAACAATCATGCCAGCAATTGAAATTCCTTCAACGTCTAGGAAGCAGCTGTCAGGGATCGATCGCGTGCTGTGGTGTTTCTCCCTGACCGCGCCTCGTACGTTCTGCATTCACTCCTCTCGCCGCTCGATCTCTGAACCGAACTGCACCGTTACCGCTGATCAGCTTTCCCGGTGAAGAATAACAGACAGCCAGGGAATTGGCACATCAGTCGTGTCAATGTTCGGCGGGGGGACGAGTCGGACGTACGGCGTTAAGTTTCAGGCGAGATGCATCGCGGCGCAAGCCGGCGAGAAGCACCACACGCGGTTCCTCGTCGGCACGCTGAGCCTGCGCGAGGAGAATGAGGTGCTGTGTGGGTGTCGTGACGGTGCTGTGTGGATGACTTGCCCGTGCTGTGTGGGTGTCGTGACCGTGTTGTGTGGATGACTTGACCGTGCTGTGCAGGTGATCTGGCGGTGTTCTGGGATGGGATAGGTGCGACTGCCTAGGAGATAACCGAAAAGGATGTACAGGGAATGAGAATGATGTAATAGGTTGAATTGGAGTCGGATGGGATGGTGTGGAATGGAATACGGTGGAATGGGATGGAACCTGGTTGGGAAGTGAGAATGAGATAGAACGAGATGGTGAACTTGAGCCGCCTCAAGAACTGCAGGTAGAGAGGCGAGTTCTGAGGCGCCTCTAAGGCCTTGAGACGACATGATGGCGATTGCGTGCGAATCACGTCTGTCGCACAGCTGTTGCAAATATCATACTGTTCCTGCTGCTTCACTCCACTTCACCAGGTGCATCTCATCCAGCTGCCGGACGAAGGTTCAGAGGTGCCGTGCGAGCTGTACCTGCACCAGCACGAGATCGGGGACATTGTAGCGAAGTGACTTTTGAGTCGACTCAAGAGTCACCTTGTAACGTATTGTCCCATCGCCAAATACTGCTGCTGCTGCACCTCCCTTTATCAGGTACATCTGATCCAGCTGGCAGACGACGGTTCAGAGGTGACGTGTGAGGGGCTGTATCTGCATCAGCACGAGATCTGGGATCTTGCCACGTGTCCATTCGACTCAGCGCTGCTTTCCACTGTGTACGCCTCCGCCGGCGAATACCACGCCGCCATCTGGCGGATACCGGACAAGGCCTTTTCGTACGGGACTGGCGCTCCCTCGTTGCAACTGGCCGCGGAGCTCAAGGGACTGGAAGCTCCCGTGAAAAAGCAAGTACTCTCGTGTTTCACACTTTCTTTCCATTCTCCTTTCTGAGAATTGTGCAACTGGCACTGGTGCTCTGAGTTTTGCAATTAGGGAAAAGGCCTTGTCCGAGTGCTGTGGTATGGGGGTAACGTGTAGCTGCACAGACTGATCACAGTTGACGAAAATGAGGTGACTTTTGAGTCGACTCAAAAGTCACCTTGTAGCTGCACAGACTGATCACAATTGACGAAAATGCCTGCCTCGAAACTCATGCTCTACTCCCCTTCCTGTTCGCTTCTGTTCCCCGTCTGTTCACTATATGTTCCCCACAGAGTGCTGTGGTACGGCGGTGACGTGGCGTTGCACAGAGTCATCACCATTGATGAGGAGATCATCTGTGCATGGGATCTCGCCTCCAGCACTCGAGCAGCGCAGTTCGCCTCGGTAGGCTGTTTTTGACTGACCCGGTCTCTCAAATTTGTGACACGTTGCTTCGTAGCCCGAATTTCATCTTTAAGAGTGCACCAATCTATTGATGCTTGTCCCATAGCATGTCTGACCCCCCATCCGTTTGTGCATGAATCAACAGGCGAAGCAGCGGGTGACAGGCAGCGGGCTGCAGAGGCTGCACACAGGGGCATGGGACCCACACAACGCAGACACCATTGCCACCACTGCGGATACCTCCATTGCCTGCTGGGATCTCAGAGCCGCCATGTGAGTGATGCGTTTTTGTTTACCAAGACGCCTCTAAACCACTCCCACCCACCACTGCTGACACCATTGCCACCACTGCTGACACCATTGCCACCACTGCTGACACCATTGCCACCACTGCTGACACCATTGCCACCACTGCTGACACCATTGCCACCACTGCTGACACCATTGCCACCACCGCTGACACCTCCATTTCCTGTTGGGACCTGAGAGCTGCCACGTCAGCAACATGTGCTCGTTTTCCCCACCCCTATCTCCACCACTCCTCCTTGCAGCAAGACGGTGAGCATAGAGGGAGCGCACCACCTGCAGATCCGAGACATAGACTTCAACCCCAACCAGCCGCACATCTGCAATGTCTATCCCTCATCCCATCCCTCTCTCTCTGCATCCTTGTGGTTATGTTGGCAGCAAGACAGCCAGCATAGAGGGAGCGCACCACCTGCAGATAAGAGACATAGACTTCAACCCCAACCACCCGCACATCCTCGCATCTGCGGGGGACGACTCGCGCATTCGCCTGTGGGACCTGCGCTCCACCAAGCAAGCCATTGTGGAGCTTCCAGGCCACTCCCACTGGTAGGAGTCACTCACACAGCTACTCGCACTGGTACGCTTTTGGAACAGCGTTCAGCGTAATTGCCACTGAATGATTCGCCTGCGGGACCCGCACTCCACCAAGCAGGCCATTGTGGAGCTCCCAGTGGTAGGAGTCACTCACACGGTCACTAGTTCACTCCCACGGGTACGTGCCACTCCCACGGGTACGTGCCACTCCCACGGGTACGTGCCACTCCCACTGGTACGTGCCACTCCCACTGGTACGTGCCACTCCCACTGGTACGTGCCACTCCCACTGGTACGTGCCACTCCCACTGGTACGTGCCACTCCCACTGGTACTTGCCACTCCCACTGGTACTTGCCACTGCCACTGGTACTTGCCACTGCCACTGGTACTTGCCACGCGCCCTGATATGGGACACTCCCATTGATGATTTCTGTTGAATGTTGACTTGTGTTGACCTGTGTCAGATGCAGGCCGATGTCGCCTCACAGTTTCCTTGTGCATTTTTCATTGCCTGCCCTGCACACCCCTGTGCTTCCTCGAATCATTCTGGCTGAATCGTTCCCACCCACACCTGCCGGCCCGCCCACCCACCTGCCCGCTCGCCCTCCCACCTGCCCCTCCGCCCGCCTGCCCTGATCTCTTCACAGGACGTGCAGCGTCCGCTACAACCGATTCTATGATGAGCTTCTGCTGGTCATTCGCCTTAACACAACACACCCATGCGTCCTCACTTACTGTCTGTATTGTTTCCACCACATACCCACGCGCCTGCTGTGTTCCCTTCCCTGCACAGGACGTGCAGCGTCCGCTACAACCGATTCTACGATGAGCTTCTGCTGGTCAGTGCCGCCCTCTTCTTGCTCCTCTGATTCTCCGCTTGATCCTCTTAGTTTCCTCTCTTGATCCTGCTGGTCAGTGCCCTTTCCTGCTCCTCCTATTCTCCAATTGCTCCTGTTATTCTCTTCTCTTTGCTCCACTCGCACTCCCACCCCCTTCCTCCTCTCTAATCTTCACGTCCAACCCCAACAGAGCAGCGGCACCGACTCAGCAGTCAACTTATGGCACGTGCCCTCAGCCTCGGCAGCAGCCGTGGCTGACCACCTGCGTGCCGGACCTAACCCAGCAGGCTCGGGAAGAGGAGGAGCAACAGCAGGGGGGTATCCTAGGGGGGGTGTGGACGAGCTGGCAGTCAGCTTCACAGATTATGAAGACAGCGTATATGGTGGGTGCAGTGCGGTTCTGTAAGGTACGTCTGTCACAATAAGTAGCAGCAGGGGGGTATTCCAGAGGGGGAGTGGACGAGCTGGCAGTCAGCTTCACAGACTGTGAAGACAGCGTTTATGGTGGGTGCTGCAAGGTGTTCTTTAAGTTGTTCGAAATATAGATGAATTCTGAGTTGACTCAAAAGCCAATACCTCGTCCAAGGCGGGGCGTCGACGAATCAGCAGTCAGGTTCAGAGTATGAAGTCAGCGTTTATGGTGGGTGCTGTGTGGTTCTGTGAGGTACCAGGTAGTCTGTCTGTCACAAGCAGGGTATCCCAGGGGGGGCGTGGACGAATTGGCAGTCAGTTTCAGAGTATGAAGACAGCATTTATGGTGGGTGCTGTGTGGTTCTGTGAGGTACCAGGTAGTCTGTCTGTCACAAGCAGGGTATCCCAGGGGGGGCGTGGATGAGTCGGCAGTCAGTTTCACAGACTACGAGGACAGCTTCTATGGTGGGTGCTGCATGGTTCTCTGAGGTACCAGGAATTCTGTCTGTTGGTGCAGACAGTTTCCACAAAACATGTTTCCTTCTACTTCTTCTTTCCTTCTCTCATTCTATTTAGTCATATTAACAACTCAGCTTTTTCTAGAATCCCTGTTGTTGCGCCCATTGCCTCTTACCCGCTTTCTAGGCGTCATGTGGAGCGCCATTGACCCCTCTATGTTCGCCTCTCTGTTGAGACATTTAGAAAATGAACCTAATATATTCCCTCCCCTCCTCCCCCCCCCATCCTCCTCCCTCCCCCACCAGGCGTCACATGGAGCGCCATCGACCCGTGGGTGTTCGCCTCCCTCTCCTATGATGGCCGCGTGAGTCCTGCCCACCCACCAACCACAATCCCGTTTTCTTTCAGAACCTACCGTAGCACTGCTTATAAAATATAGTCCTGCTTCTAGGATTTATTCTTAAAGCTTCCTGTCCAACAAATACCGTAGGCTGTGCCAGCCATTGTTTGCAAGGTTCCATTCCAACCACCTGATTCCCCCTTCCACTGGTCCTGGCAGGTGGTGGTGGACCTCGTTCCCACTGTTGTTCGCAGCAAATGCCGCCACTAATGCTGCCACTGGTACTGTACATGCAGTGTACCGTACAGTACAGAATCTGATGTGGAAACCAACCAATGCTGGAATGCAAGTGCCCAGGGGTGCATCCGCTGCTGCTGCTACTGATACCGTATATAACACGTCATATGTATTTCGTTCTGCAACAGTTTTATTTTGTATCCGCCACCAATTCATCTGGATCCTGAACACAATCTGAGACTCATGTGCTAGCCTCAATACTGTCTGTACAGCTGTGTTGCATAAGTCTTTCTTATAATGAGGTGGATTGATAGAACAATTTGAAAAAGTGATGCCATCGTGTGACCCCCATCTAACTGTCTGTAACTACCGTAAAAGACTTGTACAAATTGGATCAACCTCCACAAGCCTTGCTGTGCCTGCAAGCGTAAACAAGCCAGAGCAAGTGTGAGGTGAGTGGCTCGCTCATACAGTAAGAACCAATCACCAGCAGTGCAAATGGACGATTCACCAAGACATTAAGTGCAGCAATTGTTTAATATATAACTTCATATTTCAACCCGTGTGGTAAGGCAGACCTGAGACTCACCACGATCAATGAGTTGTTTGTTGCTGCGCTGCACGTCAGGCATGTCAACACCGGTGGTGCTGCTTCTCCTGCTCGTTGTACCACTGCACGTACCTGCATTCACGCAGCAGCGAGTGACGAGTGAGGTAGTATGGAATGGGGGTGCGTTACGTACATTAGGGGTGAGAATGATATACAATGAACTAGATGTGAGATACTATGGACAGGTGTTAGAGCAGACGAGGGTTGGAGGTAGATAAAAAGGAAGACCTGGGCGTTCAAGGGCGCGTTGGCATTGCAACGTAAGGATTGCGAAAGTGGGGGTTGGGTCAAACGAACACACGAGCAAGAGAAAGATGGAAGCGGGGTCAAGGATTCATAGAGCCGGGAGGACGGAAGCGAAAGGCGTTGGGGATCTAGAGAAACGACAAGGACCCCGAAAGGGCTCGAATCGTGGAACGGAGGAGAGAGCGACATCGGAAAGGAATAAGCGGAAGGAACAAGCGACGCAACTTCTGATCGCGAAGAGCATAAGTAGAAGCACGGCCGCTGGTAGGAAAGGAACCGAAGGTGGTGGCGATCGCATCGACGAACTCGCACTCGAAAGTTGTTCTGGCGGTGGCTTCTATTCAACTAAAGTGCGATCTAATATCGCGTACCAGTAGGTCCCTGCGATGGGTCCAACGCAGGTGGCGGCGTCGAGCCAGTTGTTCTTGATCTTCTTGACCCACTCCTTGCCCATGTCCTTCCACAGCCCCGGCATGATCTTCTGCTCGAACGGCGACAGCGCGTACGTCACCTCCTTGAGACGCACGGGAACCCTCCCCATGGCTGCGGCGGCTCTGAACGGCTTCGCGACGCGGACTAGGCGAGGATCTGATACTGACGGACCTACGAACAGAAGTAATGCGCGGCGGCGTAAGCAAGAGAATGGAGTAGATTGACAAAAAGTAAGCCGACGCAAAGGCGGAAAATAAACAGGGAGTTCTCAATCTGCAAGACCGTAACTGTCATTTGTAATCTAAGAAATTCAACTTCAATAAAAAAGTATCTATGTGATCACGGATCAGCTTATACAAGGAATACCCACCTTTGCGTGCTCTCATTGGCCACCTTCCGTGGCCAGCACCTGGGGGAATCATCAGGTGTCGCGAAGTGTGGGATGGGGTGGGGTGTGGGGGAATGGGGTTGAATAACTCCCAAGTTTCGCAACCTTTCCCACCGGAGCAGACCCGCTCGCCGGCCATTTGCGCTCCACCAACCAGGGAGCCAGTCCCATCACACACGCGCGGACCTACCTCGCCCACCTACCAACCAGCGCGCGCCACAAACCCGACCACCTTGGGATTTCCTTTCTGCCTGATTTCCAATTGCTGCATCATTTCTTGCCGCCTGCGCCTCATCTGCGCCGCTGGCTGCAAATCCGCTCGCCCGCCACCCTCGGAATCATCATCATCCTCTCGCTCCCACCCACCCACCGCTCCACTCATCAGCTCCTTGATTTCACCGATTTTCCGACTCTTCTTCACTTCAGTTCAGGCATCCTAGTGACTACATTTCTCGCGTCTACTCGTGTTGTTCCTCTCGTCTGGTCAGAGCGCTTCGACTGGTCGCCTCGCCAGACCAGTTCCACGTGGAAAAGCAGCCGCCAATTGCTAAACTGCTTGAAGAAACCCAGCTGCCTTCGATCGTATGCCTGCATTGCTTGGTTTCCTGACATGATAACGTGATTCCCAACTAATGGCGTCCACTGCTCCGGCCAGCGCCGCTCGCGGGCGACGCAACGCGAAAGCTGACGGGTTCCAGTGGGACAACCCCGGCGAAGAGCCAGTTTCCCCGAGCTCCCCCTCTCGCCGCCCTTCGTTCCTCCGCCTTTCCACCACCTCGACGATCCTCCTGCTCTCCGCGATCTTCGTCGCCGCTCTCCTTTTCATTGGCTTCCGTAATTTCCGCGTCGAGGCCCCCGCGCCGCGCTCCAGCGCGTCGCTAGGCTCGTTAGACGGCGATTACGGAACTGGCGACGATGACGGTTACGGCACAACAACCAACGCGGCAGGTTCCACGTGGCCGACCGGCAGCAAGTCGTCAAAACTGACGGCCACCGGAACGGGGGTTTCAGGATCGTTCGGGTCTACCGGCTTGACGGAAAACGTTGGAAAGAAAACGTCGTGGGACGAAATGTCGGAGGATGAGGATGACTTAGGAACCACCACCGGCTCTAGCTGGCCGAGCAAGAGTAGCTCCGCAATCGGCGGCGGGTTTGGGGGCGGACTTGGCGCTTCGTCGAGCTGGAAGAAGGGGGTCGCAGGCAGGGGAAGCAGCGGGAACTCGTGGGGTGGCGGCGGCGCGGATACGATGGATGATGACGTGGACACGTTCTCGAGCAGCGCGAAAACCGCGGGAAGGTTTGGCGGCGGCGCGATGGGCGATCTGGGTATGGGAGACGATGATGACGATGGGGGGGCGTTGTATCCGAAAGAGAAAGGCAGAACGAGGCCTGGAGACCGCGAGACCGGGAGGGGTATGGAGCTCGAAGGGTATTCTAAAAGCATTGCTTCTGGTTATGCGAAAGGCGCGGTGGGATATGGTAAAGGGACGACAGGGTATGGTAAGAGCGGACGAGGCGGAGTCGCTTCGACGCGGAAAGGCGGTCGCGGTGATGATGAGGATGACGTGGATGAGGAGGAGGATGACGTGGACGAGGAGGATACCAGGAGCAGCAGAAAGAAGGGGAGGAAGAGGAAGAAAGCGAAGAGGAGCAAGAAGAAGATCGGGAAAAAGACCAAGACGAGGGGAAAGACGACGAAGAAAACCACCAAGCGCAAATCACGCAAATACGGTAAAAAGAGCGGCAGCAAAAGCGGCGAATCGGACTGGGAAGACGACGAGAGGTCGTTCGGTCCCCTGGGAAAATGGGGACGGAAGAAGAAGAGCCGACGGAGCAAGGCAGCAGAGGAAGAGGAGGAGGACGAGGACGATGACAGGGGCAGCAGCAGCAGATATGGCAGTTCGGGTAGTTCAGGATATTCGAAGAAGCGGGCCCGGGGAGTGGGGGGCTACGACGGGGACGCAGATACCTCCGCGTCGTACAGACAGGGCGCGGATCGCATGGGGGGAAGCCGCGGGGAGCGCGGAGGGCGCGGTGGGCGCGGGTTTGACAAGGGGGGAGGTGACCCGCTGGACCAGGCTTGGGATGACCTGGGGGGCGGGCGAGGGGGGCGGGGAGGACGCGGGTTTGGCCAGGGAGACGATGACGCGGAGGCGGAGATGGGGGGAGGCGGAGGCGTGGGCGCGCGGCAGCAGCGGCAGGCGGGCGGACGAGGGGCGTACGGCGGAAGAGCAGGACAGAGGGGTGCTGACGTGGATGATTATGGCGACGGTGGAAGGACTACAAGTGGGTGAGTGTGAATGAGTGAATGGGTGAGTGTGAATGGGTGAATGGGTGAGTGTGAATGAGTGAATGGGTGAGTGTGAATGAGTGAATGGGTGAGTGTGAATGGGTGAGTGTGAATGAGTGAATGGGTGAGTGTGAATGAGTGAATGGGTGAGTGTGAATGAGTGAATGGGTGAGTGTGAATGAGTGAATGGGTGAGTGTGTGTGAATGAGTGAATGGGTGAGTGTGAATGAGTGAATGGGTGAGTGTGAATGAGTGAATGGGTGAGTGTGAATGAGTGAATGGGTGAGTGTGAATGAGTGAATGGGTGAGTGTGAATGAGTGAATGGGTGAGTGTGAATGAGTGAATGGCGAAAATGCTTAGGCAAGAATAGCCTGTGAGCTTCTGGAGGTTCTCTGACATGAATGGCCGTGTCTCTGACATGAATGGCCGTGTCTCTGACATGAATGGCCGTGTCTCTGACATGAATGGCCGTGTCTCTGACATGAATGGCCGTGTCTCTGACATGAATGGCCGTGTCTCTGACATGAATGGCCGTGTCTCTGACATGAATGGCCGTGTCTCTGACATGAATGGTCGTGTCTCTGACATGAATGGCCGTGTCTCTGACATGAATGGCCGTGTCTCTGACATGCAGACTTCATATTTTTCTTCTGTTTTCCTCCTCCCTTCCTGCAGCAAGTGGGCGCGAGGGGGGAGCGCGGGCAGTGACGCGGAGGACACGTGGCAAAGCGGAGGCAGGGGCGGCGGAAGGGGAGGATGGGCGGGGGGAGCGGCGCAGCAGCAGCAGCCGCGGGGGATGGGGTGGGGGGGAGCAGACACGGGGAGCAACAGACTAGGAGGCAATGGGGGTGGGGGAGGGATGGGCAGGATGGGAGCGGGAGCTGGGGGAGGGAGAGGAGCGGGTGGGATGACTGGGGTGAATGACAATGACGAGGATGCTTATGGCGGAGCAGCAGGGGGAGCAGCAGGGGGAAGAAACGGTGCTGCTGCTGGCGGGGCGTTTGGGGGAGGTGTGGGGGGAGGTGTGGGGGGAGCTGCAGCTGCGTTTGGGGGAAGAGGCCGGATCAATGCTGGTGGCTTCGTGGGGGGAACTCAGGGAGGTGCCAGGGCGGGGAGGGGAGGTTTAGGGGGAAGTATGGGGGGCGGGCTAGCAGGGGGGTTGGGGGAAGCGGCGGATTTAGATGGGGAGGATGACATGGGTATGGGTAGTGGCGCTGCTGCTGGTGGTCGTGCAGGCTCCACTATGAGTACGATGGGCGCTATGGGCGCAGGGGGAGGAGTAGGCGCAGGGGGACTTCCTGCTAGGGGGAGAAGCAGGCTGGGGGCCACGAGCGCTGGGTTTGGCGGAATGGGGGGCATGGGGGGTATGGGGGGCGTGGGGGGAGCGGGTAGGATGGGGGGGACCGCCTCTGCTGCTGCTGGTTCTGGCTTCGGTTCAGGCATGGGTGCTGGGATGGTGGGAGCGGCTGAAACGGATGAAGACTATGGACAGAGCGGTGGAGGAGGGTTGGGGGGAGTGGCAAGGGGAGGCGCAGGAACCGCAGCGGCAGCAGTAACAACCAGAGGGGCATTCCGGGGTGCTGCAGGGGCAGCAACGTCAGGGCGAATGGTTGGTGGGGGAATGGGTGCAACAGGGATGGGAGCAGGGGGGCTGGGTGGGGAAGATGAGATGGGTGGGGCGGATGAGGGGATGGGTATGGTAGGCAATGGTGTTGCTGGGAGGAGCGGGGTGAGGGGCGGGATGGCCGGTGGAGTTGGTGGTAGTATGGCTGGTGGTGTGGGTAGTGGTATGGCTGGCCGTCTGGGAGGCAGGTCCGGGAGCGTCTGGCAGCAGCAGCAGACGCAGGTGCAGCAGAGGGGGCAGGCAGGTGGAGTGGGAGGCGGGGGGATGTTTGGAGGGAGAGCAGGTGAGCAGCAGCAAGGTCTGGGTCTGGATGGGGATAATGACTACCCTGCTGGCGCTGCTGCTGCTGCTGCTGCTGGTGGTGTTGCTGGCACTGGTGGCTTTGGTGGCGCTGGTCGTGTTGCTGGTGCTGCTGCTGCTGCTGCCACAGATGATTACAACGAAGGGGTAGCAGCTGATTCCGGCACTGGCATCAGCGGCACCGGCAGCAGCAGCAGCAGTGGAGCGAGTGGGATGTTTGGGGCGAGAAGCAGAGCCGGAAGCAGCAGCTTTGGCACCGCCAGCAGCAGCTTCAGCAGGCGAGGCAGTGTGGCGGCAGCAGATCCCTACGGGGACGAAGGGGAAGGCACGGGCGGTAAGGCAGGAGACGCTTCAGGCATAGACGGTGGGGATGGCACGGATGGTATGGACGGTTCAGATGACCTGGATGGAGGAGTGTCCGGTGGTGGTGCAGGAGGGACGAGGCAGGGTGCGCATGCAGGGCTGGGCAGGGGCGATGCAGAGGGTGGGGGTTTGGGGGAGGAGGAGGATGAGGATGGAGGAGTGGGGTCCGGAAAGGCAGTGGTAGGATCCAAGACAGGGAAGGGCGAGGGAGGGGATAGCTCCTCTTCTTCTTCCTCTGGTGGTGGCGGTCTGTTTGGTTTTGTCTCTCGCATGTTTGGTGGGGGTGGGAGCAGTAAAGCGCCCGGAAAGGCGGCAGGGGATGGGGCAGGGGAGGGGGAGGAGGTGGAGGGGTTTGAGGCGGGGAAGAGCACGGCTCAGTCGGCAGTGGAAGATGCCCTGAGGAGCACTGAGGAGGAGGGCGTGACTGGGGGAGGCTTATCCAGGAACAGGTTCGGCAGCAGCAGCAGCAACAGAGGGGAGGGTGGGGAGGATGATGACTACGGGTCATCGTCTGCTGCTGCTGCTGCTGGCACTGCTGATGCTGATGCTGGTGATGACGCAGACGCAGATGCGGATGTTGCAGTGGGGACAGCAGAAGGTTTCAACAAGGGCCGGTTTGTCCGGGGTGCTGCTGGTGCTGCTGGTGGTGGTTCTGGTGCTGTTGGCAGGGGTGGCATGGGTGAGGAGGAGGATGATTCAGAAGCTGCTGCTGCGCTTGGTGATGTTGCAACTGGAGCCAGCGGTGGTGATGCCTCAGATTCCTCTGATGCTTCTGATGTGGATGAGTCTGATTCGCCTGCTGCAGCTTCTGGGCTTGGTGCTGCTGGTGCTTTTGGAGGGGCAGGGGCAGGGAAGGCCGGGCGGCTGAGTGGGAGACTCAGTGGGAGGTTGAGTGGTGCGAGTGGTGTGACAGGAAAGGCTGGTAGGCTGACTGCGAGAGGGACAGGAGGGAAGACGAATGCATTTGGATTAGACGCATCAGGATTGGAAGGATCGGAATCAGCCGCTGGGGGAGTTGGTGGTCGTGGGGGGATGGGAGGGGAGGGTGGTGATGAGGATGGCACAGGAGAAGGGATGACGACCATTCGGGCTACTAAGAATGCGTTTTTGGGTAAGAGGCGGGCGAATGTGGGTAGTGATACGAGCTTGGGTGCAACCCAGGGTGTGGGGCTTGGAGGAGTGAGTCGTGTTGGCCGGGCAAGAAAGACGAGAGTGGGAGGAATGACATCACTAGGAAGAGCACAGGTGAAGGCTTCACAAGACGACGATGATGAGCTGTCGCTTTGAGATGAGGGATGGTAGTTTACCATGTTTGTCTCCAAAGAGAATGGGTTGGGATAGTAGTGGTACAGTTTAATTATTTGCTATGTGCCTTCTTTTGTGAATTACTATTTATCTCTCCAGGTAGCACTTCGGCAATCGTGACCAAGTATAAAACTATATCTGAGTACAGTTTATGTTTTTTCGCTCTTGGGAACTCCGCGCAAGGTTTGAGTTCTCAAGGAGTCAGGCGGCCCGCAATTTTCCCCTCTGCGCGTCTGCGCCCTTTCCGCTTCCCCCTCTCCGCCACACGTTTAGGGTTGCTTGATCGTAGTAGTTAACTGATTCCCGCCAGCTCCGCTGCGTTTCCTGCAGCCGTGTTAGGGCGTTCGGGCGTCTACGGGCTGCTGTTTTTGCGCTGCCTTCCCGTCGCGCCGCTCTCTCTAGTCAGCGTGTCTTCTCCTCCTTTCCGCTTCTTCCAAACGGTTTTTACCACCCACGCGGCGATCAACCATAAAATTTCATTCCGTGTGGATTCCGAACGTCTGTAACCATGTATCGCGTCGCCAAGGCATCGTCAGCGCGCCGTGCGTCGCAGATCCTCTCCCGCTCCCTCACTCACTTACCCCGATCCACCACGTCCACCGCCCACTCCGCGCCAGCCCTCCGCCTTTCCGCCAATGACTCCCCCGCCGCTCCGCTTTCTCTCCTCCGCACGATCACCTCCGCTGCGTCCCTGCTGAAACCCGCGCCTTCCCCCACCGCTTCCGCGGGCGCCCCCGCGGCCGCTGCGCAGCCGGCGGAACCCGTCGCTCCGCCGCCTCCCCCGCCGGATCACATCGAAGTGTTCGTCGATGGCAAGGGCCTGCACGTTCCCAAGGGCTCCACGGTCCTGCAGGTCAGACTTAGGTTATTAATAGATTTTTTGGAGTCACATCTCCTTCGCTTCCTCGCTCTCGCTCCCTCTCTCCCTCGTTCCTTCGCTCTCTCGCTCCCCCGCCGCATCACATCGAAATGTTCGTGGATGGGAAGGAATTGCACATTTCAAAAAGCTCGACCGTTCTGTAGGTGAGCGTTGCGTGCGAGTAAGGTAGTGAGGTAAAGGTCTGGAGTGACATGCTTTTTGTCAAATGTATCTCCCTCGCTCTTCCCATCATGGCTCCCCTACGGCTGGATCGGATGCCCGGGATAGTTAAATCCATGCATCATATTCAAGCCTTTTTTTTTTCCGATTTAATTTCAAGCATTTCCCCATATTTAACATATTTAAGAACCTGAACTTGTCCTCGAGCCTCCGTCCCTACAGGCTGGGGATGCAGCCGCCATCGACTTCCCGCGCATCTGCTGCTACCATCCACGCATGCTCATCAGATTCCCCCCTTTCCCCCCGTGTTTCTCCCCCTCCATTTCCCGCTTCCCCACCCTCCCCACCCATTCTCCCCACCCGTCCTACGTCCCGCTTCCCCCCCGCCGCCCTCCCCGTTTCCCCCCATCGCGCCAGGCGTGCGACGCGGCGGGAATCGACATCCCGCGCTTCTGCTACCACCCGCGGCTGTCCATCGCGGGCAACTGCCGCATGTGTCTCGTCGAGATCGAAAAGGCGCCCAAGCCCGTCGCGTCCTGCACGTGCTTCAGTACACCTGGACGTTTTTCTATTTTCCCCCTCCCCCTTTCCTCTCCCCCCCCTTTCCCCCGTCCCGCCCCTCCCCTCTCCGCACTCCCCGCTCCTCCCCCTGCGCTCCCACAGGCGTGCGACGCGGCGGGAATCGACATCCCGCGCTTCTGCTACCACCCGCGGCTGTCCATCGCGGGCAACTGCCGCATGTGTCTCGTCGAGATCGAAAAGGCGCCCAAACCCGTCGCGTCGTGCGCCATGCCCACCATGCCGGGCATGAAAATCAAAACCACCACGCCGCTCGTCAAAAAAGCGCGCGAAGGAGTCATGGAGTTCCTCCTCCTCAACCACCCGCTCGACTGCCCGATCTGCGATCAAGGCGGCGAGTGCGACTTGCAGGATCAGTCCATGGAGTTTGGGAGCGATCGGGGTCGGTTCTACGGGTTTAAGCGCAGTGTAGAGGATAAGAACTTTGGTCCGCTCGTGAAAACGGTCATGACGCGCTGCATCCACTGCACGCGCTGCGTGCGATTCGCGAAGGAGGTCGCGGGGGTGGAGGACCTCGGGATTACCGGGCGCGGGCGCGACTCGGAGATCGGAACCTACGTGGAACGCATGCTCACGAGCGAACTTTCCGGGAACGTGATCGACCTGTGCCCGGTCGGCGCGCTCACGTCGAAGCCGTTCGCGTTCACGGCGCGGTCGTGGGAACTGAAGGGGACGGAATCCGTCGACGTGTCAGACGCGATCGGCGCCGCGATCCGCGTGGATAGCCGCGGCGGGGAGGTGATGCGGATCCTTCCGCGTCTGAATGAGGGGGTGAACGAAGAGTGGTTGACGGACAAGGGGAGGTTCGCGTACGATGGGTTGAAGCGCCAGCGGCTCTTCGCCCCCATGGTTCGCAGCGCGATCACTGGCCAATTAGAGGTCGCCAGCTGGCCCGAGGCGCTGGAAGCGGCGGCGAAGGCGCTGGTGGGAGTTAAGGGGGAGGAGGTGCAGGCGGTGGCAGGGCGGCTTGCGGACGCCGAGGCGCTAATCGCTCTTAAAGACCTAATGAACCGGCTCGGGTGCGATAATCTTCGCCCAGACGACGGGGATTGGGTGGCAGGAGGCGCGGCGAACGCGGATCTGCGGTCGTCCTACGTGGCAAACACGGGATTGGCCGGCTTGGAGGACGCTGACGTGGTGCTGCTGATCGGGACGGACCCGCGCAGCGAAGCGCCACTCCTGAATCACCGCCTGAGAAAGGCTGTGATTGGCCGACGCGCGAAAGTCACCAACATAGGCCCTTCCCTGGATCTTACCTTCCCCACTGAGGGTTTAGGGGAGGGGGCGGACGTGCTAGTGAAAATGGCGGAGGGGAAGCATCCGTTCAGTGGGGTGCTGGCGCAGGCGAAGCAGCCGGCTGTGATTGTGGGAGCGGGGGTGATGAAGCGCGCCGATAGGGAGGCTGTGATGGCCGCCGTGCAGACTATTGTAGCGAATGTGAGTATAACGAGGGGTGGCTGTGGGGGATGTGGGTGTCTGGAGGGTGGGAGGAGGGCGTGTTGGAAAGAGGGAATGGGGGTGTTGGCGGGGAGGGGAATGGCAGGGTGCATGGAGGGATGCTGTTCTTTACCCTTCTTACTGTGTGCCCTCGCCGATCCCCTCGTCTCTCTCCCCATGCCTTCCAGTTTAGAGACTTCTCAAACCCTTATATTTTTTTCCTACATGTACCCTGCCCCCGTGCGCCCTCTCCCCTGCACCCTCCCCGCAATCCCCTCTGCACCCTCCCCGTTGCGCCCTCCCCTCCGCCCATTCCGTCACTTGTCCTCCCCTCTTACGCTTCCCTTCTGCATATGCCCTCCCCTCCTGCCCTCGTGTGTGTGTCATACCCGTGCGAGCAGGCGGGGGTGGTGAGGGAGGGGTGGAACGGATACAACGTGCTGCACCTCTCTGCCGGCCGTGTGGCCTCTTTGGACGTCGGCTTCGTGCCCGGGCCTCGAGCTGCCCTCTCCCGGTGAGTAGCGCGGTGAGTGTGCCCGTTGCTTTGCTTGTGTGTGTGTGTCCCCGACTCTGCTCAAGTGTGGTGGGTGCCATCGTGCTTTGAGACGTCTCAAAACCCTTCTTCAATCACGTGCTGCACCTCTCTGCCGGCCGCGTGGCCTCTCTGGACGTCGGCTTTTGTGCCCGGCCCTGCAGCTGCTCTCTCCCTCCCGGTGAGTAACCCTGTGTGTCTGTGTGTATGTGCGCCCGACTCACTTACGCTCCTTCCGCCCAGTGAGTGTGAGTGTGTGTGCCCCCCTCTCTGCGTGAGTGTGGCTGCCAGCCTCTCCGCGTGGCCTCTCTGGACGTTGGCTTCGTGCCCGGCCCTGCAGCTGCTCTCTTTTTTGAGAATTCTCAAAAACCAGCTGCTCTCTCCCGGTGAGTAACCCTGTGTGTGTGTGCGCCCTCTCTCCAAGTGCCACCCTCTTCCAGTGAGTGTGTGTGTGCACGCCCCGTCTCTAAGTCCCCCCCCGTCTGGTTGAGTGTGCAAGTTAACGAAAATTGCAGCCAGCTCGCCTGCTCTCCCTCTTCCCTCTACCCACTCTCCTTCTACCCACTCTCCTACCCACTCTCCTTCTACCCACACTCCCTCTACCCACTCTCCTTCTACCCACTCTCCTTCTACCCACACTCCCTCTACCCACTCCCCCTCTACCCACACTCCCTCTACCCACTCTCCCTCTACCCACTCTCGCTCTACCCACACTCCCTCTACCCACACTCCCTCTACCCACACTCCCTCTACCCACACTCTACCCACACTCCCTCTACCCACACTCCTACCCACACTCCCTCTACCCACTCTCCCTCTACCCACTCTCCCTCTACCCACACTCCCTCTACCCACTCTCCCTCTATCCATCCTCCCCTTATCCACTCTTTCTCTATCTGCTCTTCCTTTGTCATCACCTGATCTGTCTCCTCCTTCCGCCTCCCAGCACCCCTCCCAGCACCCCTCCCAGCAACCCTCCCAGGTGGTGCAACTGCTGGGAGCAGGCGACTTGGCAGTGGCGGCCCCTAATCTGTTCCCCATCTTCCTCCCATTTCCCCTCCTCGTGGTAATAGAAGTGTTTTGAGACGTCTTAAAACACTTTTATCATCACCCAGGTGGTGTGGTGCAACTGCTGGGAGCAGGCGACTTGGCAGTGGCGGCCCCTGATCTGTTCCCCATCTTCCTCCCATCTTCCCTCCTCCTTTCCCCATCCACCCCACCGTCCTTTCCCCCTTCTCTTTCCCCCACCCTCTACTCGCCCGGTCCAGCACGCCTCCCAGGTGGTGCACTTTTGAGAATTCTCAAAAGTCACTCGAATACAGGTGGTGTACAGGTCACTCGAATACAGGTGGTGTATCTGCTGGGAGCAGATGACGCACATTCCAGCAACCCTTA